AACGGCAGCTCAGAAGTCTTCTGCTTTGCTGTAGGCACAAGAGCTGGACACTGAAACCAAATGTCCAAATGACTCTGGCCACACAGGTGTGGTGTGCGGTCAGAGGGATGGGAGCAGATGTTGCTTGCATGTGGGGGACTCGGAGAAGGGAGCTCCCTCAGCCTACATTTCCCAGCATCCCTCAACTGTCAGACTCAAGGAGCCCCTCGAGGAGCCCCTCCTGCGGCTGCAGTGAGGACCAGATGAAGAGATGCGGGGCCTGGCGGGCGGCCAGTGTCACTGTGGCTTGGGTCTCATGGCTGGGGGCGGCTATCAAGCTTCCTTTTCGGATCCTGGCACCCTGGCTCTTTCCTGCTGGCCACCCTGCCTGGTTGCCCGCTCCTCCTGCTAAGCTGCCCAACACTCGCCCTCCACACAGCCGTCACTGCCTCACAGCTGCCCGCTGGCGTGCCGGCCAATGTGAGCTCCCCTGAGTGGACAGGACTGTCCACCCCAATAGTTCTGGTGTTGCTGGGGCGTCTGTTCCCGTGTGCTGGCAGGTCTGGGATTGTTGTTGTTGCATGACTTTTGGGCCCGGGACCGAAAGCTGCGTCTCCCACAGCCCAAGGGTGCTTCTGCTTTGGCACAGGGCATGCCGAGTGCGTGTCTGGGACTTGCACAAATCGGCGTGTGGCTGGGGGTGGGGGAGGGGGGCGCGGGGGGAGAGGGAGGGGGGGGCAGGGCTAGACCATCTCAGAGGGAAAATGGGAACAAATCCTTTAAACTCTGAAGGAGGAGATGGGGTGCCCTGAATAGGGGTGTCAACACTGCAAACCAGTGTCCAGGGAAATACCAGCCAACCTCCAGAGACCCCGCAGGTCTGGACAGGGGCACCCGGCAGGGCCCTGAGCATGTGGACGTCCATGACCTGGCCCAAGTCCACTCTAGCCTGGACACAGCCTGTGGGGGAGCCCCCAGTGGCCAGAATGGACTTTCCACCAGCCCGAGGGATGGACCCCATCCCTCTAGGGAACTTAAGGGACCTGTCATTGTTGACCATGCTGTGTAGGCCACACGAGGTGGTCAGAGATTCACCTAACAAGCATTGCTCAGCACCTCCTGGGGGCCAGGGGCGGTCATGAAGAGGCACGAGGCCCCTGCTCCCTGGGGCTCCTGCATCAGGCGGAAGGCCTGAGCCAGGCACAGGACACAGCCTGGTCAGCCTGGTCTTTGAATAGGGACTTTGTGACCATTGGGACCTGGGGTTCATGCATGTGGGAGCAACTGACCACTAGACTACCCTGCCCCCGCCCAACTGGGTCACTGGGGGCGGGGGGGTGTGTGTGTGTGTAAATAGCCCCAATGTAGGTCTCTGAGCCCTGTCTCCTTAGGGACTCTGGACAACTGGCTGTAACCACCCCCCCACCAAGCTCTCCAGGGCTGGGTTTTCTCCACTTTCACCAGCAGGCTGCACAGTCGGGGGTGCCAGGCCAGACTGGGGCCCCAGACACTGAGGATCCTGCTTGCTCTTCTTGTTGGTTTGACTTGACCTGGTAATTTCCTTCCTTCTAAATAAGAAAGCAGCCCCACCCGCCTCCTTCCCCATCATATGTCCAAATCTGCCCCAGGAACTCAGCCTCCCCAGTTGTTACCCCACAGGGTTAAGTCTACCCCTCTTTGCTGGAACTTCTGGTGTCAGAAGCCTTGTCCTTTCTGGGGGTAGGAGCCTGTTTCCCCCACTCCAACCCTGTAAGCTTTGAGCGTTCACACCCAGTTCGTGTATGCAGTAGGAGCTCAATAGATACTGGTGGAATGCAGGCCTAGCTCCGGCTCTTCCAGCTTCCAGCTTCCAGGCCTCTTGCTGGCCTGAGGAATCTTGGCTTTGTCTCCTCCTCCCTCCTGCTGTCACGCCTTGTGCTGCACCCCAGAAGGGACAGATGGAAGACCCTGTCACCTCCTGGCCAGGCCTGCTGAGGGCAAATCCAAGAGGAGCCCATTTTTCCTTGGATCCAGGGATCGGCAGCTACCAGTCAAGCTACAGCAAACTGCCGAATAGAACTGGTCCCTTGAAGGGGCCTCCCTGGTGGCGCAGGCAATTGAGTGCAGCGCTGTGAAGCTGTCCGCAGCCTCTGCAGCCCCGGTTCAATCCCCGCCGGCCTCGGAACAACCCACAGGGCGAGCAGACCTCTCCCCTCTCGCTCGCTGCTCCCCTCAGCAGTGTGTTTGTCTGCCTGTTCTGTTCCCCGCTCTGTCTCTGGTGAATCCTCTCACCCTTCCACACTTCTGGCCTGTACTCCGGTTCTGGTATAAATAAAATAAATCCTTATATGAAACAAAAAAGAACTGGTCCCTTGAAAAATGGTACCTTCCAGACAACAGAATTGAAACCTCTGTAGTGAGCTCTGGGTTGATGAAATGGAAATTAGCAAAATATCAAAGAGAACTGGTTTTCATTACTATGGCTTGTCTGAGGTCTGTTGATGGGGCAATATTGGGTGGAGGAGGTGCAAAATAAAGACAGATGATTTACACATCTTTATATATTTTATATAACATGTTGCTCTTGTCTTCATTTCAGCAAAATCACAGAAGATCTTGTTATAATAATGAATGTCATATAAATGGGCTCTGTTGACAGAAGGGTCTAAGGGGTGGGTCTTGCCCATCTTTTGCAAAATGTGGTCAAGCATTTCTGAAGCTGCAGGCCTGTGACTTCCGTCTCGCCTCTCAGGAACAGTGTCACATTTCCCTGGGGACTTCAATGCAGGTCAGGCTGGGTTTTAAGTGAGGGTCCAGATGTCAATGCCTTGTCCTAGGGCAGTCTAGGATCCCACAGACACCCCCCCCCCCGCCAATAAATGGAAAATGAAGGGTCAGAGGCCCCCCCATTACAACACTTGGCTTGGCATAGGGCACGGCTGTGTGTCTGCTGGTGTCCTCATCACTGCTCCAGGTGGGCATCTGGTGAAACTTGTCCCAGGTATAGGACCTGTCCCAGGGGTGTCTGGTCCCAAAGCTAACGGCTCCCTTCTTCTGTGCAGCCGGAGACCCAGGGACGTGAGCCAGTGACCAGCCAAGTTCTGCTCCATGACTGACTGGAGCACAGCCCGCAGACAGTTACAACACCCACGCATGCCTGGGACGGGCACAAAGCCTTTCCTTGCAACACTTACCCCCGCACCATATGCCCATTAATAGGTGACCCTAGAGCACGCTTTGTCTGCAACCTTTGAAGAGGTATGGCCGACACTGTACTCAGCCCTACAAGGGTTATCAAGGGGCCAGAGTCCCCCCTCATGCTCTACTGACTCCCCAGTGGGATGAGTACCCTGGTGACCACAGCAAGTAGCACCAGCAGCAGCCTCAGCATCCCCACGACCTTGAGAGGAGCAGGGACTGAGGTCCTGGCCCCAACCTGTTGAACCAACGTCGGGTTTCTAGCAAATGCCCAGTCCAGTGCCCGCAGTGTGAGCGTCGGTGACTTAGCAGAATGCAGACGAGGTAAGGCGCCTGCCCTGCTGTGCCACTTACTAGCTGGTGACTGGGCATCTTAAGCAGCGGGCCTTCGCCTGAAAAGGGAGACACCACATGAAGCGGGAGAATCAACTGCAGTTGCCTTTTTGGTAGGTTACCGAAAAAGAGCCAAATAGCATCAATTTCATGTGATTCAACCTAGTACTTGCTTTGTTGGTTTTTTGGTGGGAACCAATGATTAATTTTTTTTTTTTTTTTTTTAATCAAGTGGCATGAGTCCTTCAACTTTATTCTTTTTTTTAATGCATTTTTTTTATAGAGGCATGTTTTATTTATTTATTTGTTTGTTTGTTTGTTTGTTTGTTTATACAAGCACTGGGTACAGTCAGAAGCGCGGGAGGGTGAGAGAATTCACCAGAGCCAGAGCGGGGAGCAGAGCAGGCAGAAGACCGAAGGACACTGCCGAGGGGAGCAGCGGGCGGCACGAGAGGTCTGCGCGCCATGGGGGACCCTCCTCCCGTGGCCGGGGAGCAGCCGGGGATCGAACTGGCGCAGCAGAGGCCGCGGGCAGCTTTGCAACCCAGTGCTCAACCGCTGTGCCACCGGGGAGGCCCTCAACAATTAATTTTCAAGTGAGACAAAATACAGAAAGCACCCGGCACACAGTAGGTGCTCAAGGCTTTGTTTCCCTTCCTATCCCCCACACGGGAGACCCAGGAAAGACACTGTGGAGAGGCCCAGGGGAGAGCAACACTCATTCACCCTGACTCCGCAGACAAAGCCCCAGGCCCGAGGGCCAAGGTGCTGTTCATGGCTAGATGGGGTGTGCAGGGGGCCCCCCATCAACACCCAGAGGAGGGGATCCCCGCAAGTCCAGCGATGCCTCCAGGGCCACCCGGACACTTAGGCAGCGGGCCGGGCCTCAGCCCGGAAAGGGAGAAACCATATGAAGCAGGAAAATCAAATGCAGTTGCCTTTTGGGCAGGGCCCCACAGAGGACCCCGTTATCCCAGTGGGTTGACCACCCTCCCCAGCAGAAGCACGCTCCTCGTGTCCCTGTGGAAAGTCACCACGAGGAAAGGCCGATGGGATTCAGTGTCTGGTGGGGGCGTGGGGTCAAGACGGGGCTGAGACCGGGGAGCCAGCTGGATGCTGGTGGCACCGGCGGCCTCCAAGCCTGCCTCGTCCAGCGTCATCGTGGCCTTGTGAGTGACCTGGAAGGAAAATTCTGGAATCATCGATTGATCTCTCAGGAAGGATCAACTAGGTCTTTCCTTTTGTTTCATTTTTTCCTGCTTTCCCCACACTGCATGTGGCTCACCCAACCTTCTCGCCCCCCTTCCCACTGGGATTCCCTCGGCTCCTCTCTGCCGCCCCAGCGCTGGACTTCATTCTGGTCCCTTCGCTGCTCAGTCCGTGCCTTAGCAATGCCGTCTCGCGTCATGTCCCCTTCACGGACACCGCTGTCTGCGGAAGGCCCCCGAACCTGGCCCTGCACCCCTTGGCCTCCCCAGGGCAACGTGATCTTGGGCAAGTCACTTCCCCTCTCAGATGGGCTCGGGGTCCCCAGTTATCTGATTTGGCAGTCGGCGCTCAGAGGGGTGCTGCAGCTTGCCGGAGGCCACACAGCTGGACGGGACAAGCCCGGACCTGGATGCGGGTATGCTGCCCTCCACGCCACGCCGCCTCAAGGGCACAGGGAGGCCACAGGGACCCAGGCTAATGCAGAAAGGGACCCAGGCCACTTTGGTGTAGGACAACTTGACCTGGTAGACCCTGCTTGCTGCTGACCAGACTGGGAATCCTGGTCAGTTCCTCAGCTCTCCAAGCTGCGTGTCCTCATCTGCAAGAAGGAAGGGCAGCACTGACCTCATCATTTTGCCATGAGGTGTGGCCTGAGCATCAGAGCGCAGGTGGGAGAGGGGCTGAGGGAGCCTGTGAGGTCCCGCCTCTCCAATGTTCCCTCTGACCTTCTGCAACTCTCCCCTCAGTGCGTGACCTTGGCCATTTACCTCCATTCTCTGCCCAGGGCCAGGAGTGACCTATGTGCCTCCACAGATCTTTCTAGAGCTTTCTAGAGCACACATACGATTAGGCCTAAAGCCCCTGATTTGGCTTCCAGGTCATCAGAATGGCTTCCAGGGTTGTCCAGGGCCTCAGGTCCATCCAGATAGGGGACTCCTGGGTCCCAGAGGCCGAGCCTCTCCTCCCAGCCTTTCCCCGGGCCCTGCTCAGGCCCTTTTTTGTAGCTTGTCCTTCTGGTCAGGAGTGACATCCCCAGGAAGCATCCTCTGCACTTGCAGCCCTGAATTTGCTTCCCTTTTCCTGTGTGCCCCAAGGGCAGGCCTGTGCGGTGGGTGGCGCGTGGAGCAAGAGCAGAGACGCAGACGGAGGAGCCTCGCATGATGACAGAGTTAGCATCCTCTGTCTTTAAGGAGACACTGGCCTTCTTCCAGCAGTAGCCAAAGGGCATCAAGAGCCGGCCTGCCCCCTGAAACCCCAATCCCAACGTACTTTGAAAATGTGCAGTGCAGGGTGTCCCGGGAAGCCCACAGCCACCCCTAGGAGGTGCTCCTCCAGTGTGTAGGTGCTGGAGATGGAAAATTGGGGGAAATAGAAGTCGAGTTCTCTGTAGAGAGACAGAAGTTGGTTTGCTGTTGAGATGCGCGTTTGACACACGCTTCTGCAGTCGGCAGCCTCTGCTCTCTAACAACCCAGGAGGGCACCTTCTCCTCACCCCCTGCCTCTTCCTGGCCTCTGCTCTCTGTCCCATTCGCCTCGGGAGGGCCACAGAAAGACGTTCTAAAGCTGGTCAGCACAGAGCTGGGGCTGGAGACAGCTTCAGGCTCCTGATCCAGTGCTCCCTCCCAGGCCCCAGTCATGACACCTTCAGGGCAGGCAGGGACAGTGCCCAGGGAGGACAGTACCCTGGGGGGGTCAGCACTCTGGGAGGGCAGTACCCTGGGGGACATGTAGGGGACTAAGCTAGCAGGCAGGGACTGGCTTCCCGGCCTCTGGGCGAGCAGCCTACCTTGTCCTGAGCAGACTGTCCCACTTGATCGGCATTTCGGGAAGCAAGGCATCTTCCAGCTGTGTCAGCTTGCCCCGGTGGGGGACAACGAAGAAGGTGGTGGTGTTCCCCGCGTGGCCCAGCTGCAGCACGGTGCACTGCAGCTCGGGGTCATGCAGGAGGCGCTGGCCGGCCTTCTGCTTCATCATGGGCACCTGCACCGCCCTGCGCTCGCTCACGAAGAAGTCTTTGGGGCTGGTGGCACTTGGGTCAAAGGCTCTCGCCCACCCTGCTGAGGGGAGAGACACACCCATGTCGCCCTTGAGACAACTGAGCAGGGGCTTAGGGGTGACCCATCTGGCAGCTGTGGGGAGTAGGAGGGGGAGCCCTGCATCTAAGCAAGCCTGGGAGGCTTCCTGGACGCTGGAGAGAAAAGGGGTTGAGGAGCAATTGGAGCCCCCATTCCTGAAGGGAGAGTCCACGCTGATCATGCACTCTTACCTCTGAGGAGCACGCGGTTCGTGGAGACCGCCTCGGTTTCGCTCCCGAGGTCCTCCACCCGGGCCCCAAGCGTCCCCGGGGTCTGCTTCTCTGCGTACTTGTCAAGGTGCGTGCGGAAGGGTCCCGTGCATGGGCCGACAACCCTGTGCTGGTCCAAGGTCACGAGGAGCTGGGGGTCCCGCCCGGGGAGCTTGACCAGCAGATCCTGGAAGCCCTCCTGGATCTCAGCCTCGAGCACCATGCTCAGGTTGAACCCCAGGCCCTCCAGGAGCTGGGTCCTGCTGGCCGCAGGGGTGTCTCGGAGCAGCATGGCCAAGGCCGAGGAGAAGCTCACAGGGGAGAAGAGGATGTTTGCCCCCGGATCCCTTAGAGCCAGCTGTTGGCAAAGTCAATGTTGCCCACGGAGATTTTGTGGCAGGGCAGAGCAGGCCTGGGGGGGGCTGTCCTGGGGACTGGGGTTGAGGAGATCAGAATCCTCTGGGTCAGCCAGGGCCAGACAGTGAGCCGTGGCCGTGAACACAGTGGCCAGCGACCACCACCGCGGGGCATCCATCCTCAGGGCCCGTGGTGGGCATGCAGGGCCCTGGGAAGACAATGATAGCAGTGTCAGTAACCCACGCTATCCAAGGCACGGCTGCTCTGAGCCAGGCGCCTCCATAGCCGGCCTTCATTCACCCTCACCCCAGTCCCACGGGGAGGCAGTAATACCCCCGCTTGGCAGAGAAGGAAACGGAGGCTCGGGAAGGCCAAGTCACCTGCCCAAGTGTGAGCCGCCTGTAGGTGGCAGAGTGAGGACTTGAAACCAGAGCTGGTGAAAGGGGGTGTGCACTCCGGCGAGACGTCCCCTCCCCTCCACTTCGGAGAACTTCTCACCACCTCTTGGGGCCTCTGCATGATCTGGCCCTCGCTGTCCTCACCCCTGACCGTCCTTCCCCTTCTCTGTCTGCTCTGACCACCCTGGTCTTCTTGCTAGTCTAGAGCTTAACAGCTCATTTCTACCTCAGGACCTTTGCACTTACGGTTGGCTGCCAGAACAGCCTGTCTTCAGGCCTTTCCATGGCTCATAGCCTCGTTTCATTCAGTTCTCTGTCAAAGGTCCCTCAGAAAGTCCCACTCTGTCCTGCCACCGGCTGGTACTCTGCCCTGCTTCTCGTGCCCATCTCGAATGCTGACATATATGTCCAGAGGTGAGCGCTCAGCGTCTGCCGGAAGAGCAGCATGTCTGCACGGCTCTTCAGCAGGTGCACTCTGGGACTCCAGTTGCACTCCTGGGGCACAAGCGTTTCCTGGTCCTTGGGGACCCTGCTCCCTGACACCTTGCTCCCCAACCTAGCTCCACCAGCGGCAATCCTGCTTGGCCCTGTCTGTCCCCCTGAGTTTGGATAAAGTGCTGACAGAATTGCTGGTCATCATGTCCCTCTGGTTTTCCGTGTGATCTTGTGAGGCTCTGGCCCCCTCTGAGCCTAAGTTCTCTCTGTAGAGGGAAGAAGCAGCTGAAACGCAGCCTCCAGGAAATCCTCGTCTGCAGAACTGTCATCCCCCAGGGCGGCGGACAGCAGAGAAGGCTCCCTGTCCCTGGGAACCCGCTTTGGTGAAGGTTATGACGTCAGCCTCTTATTCTACTTAACGTTCCTTCGTTCACTCGCTGGGCAAACACTGGCTGAGAGTCTGCCCCGTGCCAGGGCTTGAGCTGCACGATGGGCGTGAGGGACAGCCGCTTCTGCAGGGGGCTCGGGCCTGGGGGGCAGGCACGCGGACACTCTCACGAGCTCTGTGTTGGGCACAGCCAGGTCTCTGAAACCAGAGAGCTTTCGGGCTGACAGGATGCCATGACTCAATCTGACATTGTACAGATGGGAAAAGAGGCTGAGGGAGAAGCTTGGTTCATTCACTGGTTGACTTACTCATTCAAGAAATATTTGGCAGTCAGGACATGAGGGGAAGGCAGCCTGGGCCCTGCCTGGAAAGAGCTGCCTCCTCCAGCTGTTGTGGGAGGAGGAAACGCAGATAGCTGATTACAGTTCTCTGAGCAGCGGCAGCCAGAAGAGACCTACAAAGAGTGGGTGGGAAAAGCACAGGAGGAGGCACAGATAGCAAGGAGTCCCTGGAAGGCTTCCTGGAGGAGGTGGCCCTGAGCTGATACCGGAAGATGGAGCAGGAGAGAGCCCGGAAAGGGATTGCAACAGAGGCAATCGTATGTGGAAGGTCATGGCAGCAGGGTGGGCCAGCACCATCCAGACCGCAGCCTATGGTTGCAGCTCTCAGAGCGGCAGGGAGGCGTGTGTACGGGTGTGCAAGTGTGTGCATGCACTTATGCACATGTGGACCTCAGGAGATGGCTTGTGGCCGGTTCACCACATTGGCTGGGGAGCTGGGACTCCAACCACACCTCCAGCGCCACACTCACCTGAAGTGGAGGGCTTTCTGGAAGCCCTCACGAGGGCCGGGGTGCTCCAGCAGGTCTGCCTGGTTCAGGACACAGAAACCCGTTCCTGCAGGGGAGGATGGTGACAGGCTGGACATCTGGGATCAACACAGACCGTGCTGTGGCTGCCCTTGGTCTAATGTCCATGTCCAGCACAAACAGCCGGGAGGAAAACAACCCGCGCCCCCCCCCCACCCGTCGGAAGGTGTGGAAATCCATGCCTGGAGAAGGAGCTGGGAGCACGGCGGTGCCCAGGTGCTGGGCTGGTGTCGGGGTCTGAGTATCACTCCTCACTCTGCGGCCAGCCTCCCCTGAGTCTCAGGCCTTCCTCCACCCTCCCACCACCGCAGCTGCCCCCAAGGTCAAATCTGGGCTCCCTAAGGTCAGCCTTTGCAACTAGTAAAGAGCAGAGCAAATTGCAGTGAGCGCCCCCCCTCCCCAACCCTGCCCTGGGGTTTCCTCCTCTCATCCACCCACCAGAGTAGGTGCATTCTCGGCACCCACGTCTCTGGTCTTTCTCCAAGGAGCTCAGGTACAGCACTTTAAAATGTCACGATGGCGGGCCTCCCTGGTGGCGCTAGGGGTTAAGACACAACCTATGAAGCTGTCCGCAGCCTCTGCAGCACCGAGTTCAATCCCCAGCCAGGGAGATACCCTCACGGTGCAGCAGACCTCTCCTGACTCACCCGCTGCTCCCCTCAGCAGTGTATTACAGTGGGTCTGCCTGTTCTGTTCCCCACTCTGTCTCTGGTGAATCCTCTCACCCCTTGCACCTCTGGCTTACACCCCAATTCTTGTATGCATAAATAAATAAATCTTTTTTAAAAAGGCACCATGTCTTATTCATTGTGACAATAGCGCTTTTTTTTTTTTTTTTTTTTGTAGTGACAAATTCTTCAGGAACATCAATAGAACTTTCCACTCAATGCAGCACAAACAAGTTAATGTGTACAGAAAGTATTTGCAAAACTTTCGTAACTCAGATGGGCTGTCCTTCCGGAGCTGGCTTGGTGGTGGGATGGCTCCGGGTGGCCTGCAGGCTGACCGCAGAGACAAGGTCTCTGTGGGTGAGGGGTGTAGCCAGACAATTTTCTCCAGTTTTGTTTTGGCAACATTAGCTTTGCTCTGCTCGTCCACTGCCTGGACATCAACTCCTGCACCGTCACCACCCGTTGGCTTCTCCGGGCCTTCAGGTCTCTGCCTTGATGCTCACCCGGGGGAGGAGACAGTAGGAGCCCATTATAAAATCTGTTGTATTGAGCCACCACAGGATGCCCAGGCCTGCTGAGGGCACAGTAGAGCTGGTGAGTAAGGCATAATCCTGCCCACACGAATATCTTTGTTTCAAATCTTACTATGGAAAAATTCAAACATAAAAGTAGGCAGGACTGTACAGTGAGCCCCTTGTTGACATGAGGCTAACAATTTTTCCCACACACCTCTGAATTGTTTTCATTCTTTAATTATTTTGAAGCAAATCCTACACATCATCCCATTTTATCTCTAGGATTTTTTTCAAAAATCATAGCTACCTATCACACCTTAAAAACGTAAAACGTGAATCCTTAATGTCCTCAAACAGCAAGTGATTGTTACCCTAACTGGCTCCAAATGCTTATTTTTTTGATTTATTTATTTATGCATATAGGAAGTGGGGTACAGGCCAAAGGTGTGTGTGGAGGGTGGGTGAGAGGATTCACCAGAGACAGAGTGGGGAACAGAACAGGTGAATCTACTGAAATACACTGCTGAGGGGAGCAGTGGGCGAGTCAGGAGAGGTCTGCTGCGCCATGTGGGTAGCTCCCTGGCCAGGGATCAAACTCGTGCTGCAGTGGCTGGTGATAGCTTCATAGGTTGTGTCTTAATCTCTTGAGCCACCAGGGAGGCCCTCCAAATGCTTTTTTACCATTGGTTTGTTTGAATTAGCATCTAAAAAAGATCGCCACATGATAGTTACAAACACACTCGACATTCATGTGACACACTTCACGGTGAACAATTGTCCGTCACGCCTATTGGGTTTCAAACTATTTTCATCACCCCTAAAGGAGATCCCTGACCCATCAGTCATTACTCCCTATCCCTACCCTTCACCCCAGCACCTGAAAGCCGCTTCCCATCCCTATGGATTTTCTTGTTTTGGACATTTTATATAAACGGAGTCCTATGACACGTGACCTTCTGAGCCTTTCTTCATTCAGTCAGCATGTTTTCGAGACTCAGCCACGGAGAAGCAGGAGTCAGTGCTCAGTCCTTTCCATGTCTGAATAATATCCCATTGTCTAGACTGACCCCATTTTGCTTATCCATGGTTCAGATAATGGATATTTGGCAATTTCAGATTTTTTGGTTCTAAATAAAACTGCTCTGAACATTCAAGTACAGGTTTTCGTGTAGATATACGGTTTTGTTTTTCTTGGGCGTAAACCTACAAACAGAACTGCTGACTTACATGTAACTCTATGTTTAATTTGTTGAGGTCCTGCCAGGCAGTTACCACACAACAGCGGCGCTATCTTATGTTCCCATCGATAGGCACAAGTGTTCTCATTTCCCCACGTCCTGGGCAACATGTTATTTTCCATTATTGTCATCGTCACTGTCCTTGTTGTTAGGGTGAGTAGATGCAGGGGGCTTAGTAGGTGTATCTCACTGCACTTTGGATTGTGTTCCCTGCTGGTGAGTGCTTTGCACACCTGCCCGGTACTGGCTGGCCATTTGTAGATCTTCTTTGGAGAAATGTCTATTTATTCCAGCCTCTTGCCTGTTTTGAATTGGATCGTTTGCCTCTTTAGTATGGAGCTATAAGTGTTATTTAAATATTCTAGATACAGTAAATACCCTTCTCAAATACATGATTTGCAAAATATTTTCTCTCATGCTGTATGTTGTCACTGTTCTCTTCTTGATAGTGGCTTTCGATGTACAAAAGCTTCTCATTTTGATGACCTTCAATTTGTCTATTTTTTCTCTTATTGTTTATGATTTTGGGGTCAGAATTAGAAATCGACTGCCAAAATCTTGATGATTTACCCCCATGTTCATAAGGACCTTGACTTGTTGAAATATGGTGTGAGGTAGAGACCCAGCCCGGCCCACCCCACTCCCAATGACTATCACAACTTGTATTCCAATTACAAGTTTACCTGTCAAAACTCCCAAGGGCTGGGACCCTGACACTTTTGTACACCACTGACGTCTCCACAAGACTTCAATGATTAATATTTAATACCAATTTAGTGAATAAATGGATGAATGTGTGAATGAATTGTTATAATTTTGGTTACAAAAAGTGATTATCAATCTGGTTGGAGTCAGAGCTCCTAAATTGCTATTTGTTTTCTATTTAATTGATCTGTCTTTTGCATCTTTCCTCCTTTTTTATCTTATTTTGGGGTTATTTGAATTGTGTATATGTTGCCATTTGACTCAACTATTGACTTTTTAGCTATCCTTCTTTGTTTTGTGTTTCTTCAGTGGATTAAGGATTTACAATACATTTTTAACTTTCACCTTTTGCTTTCAAGTAGTAGACCTCTTTAAGTTGAGAAACCTACGTCAACATCCTTAATTTTTTCTCCCTTCTGGCCTTTGTGTGATTGTTCTCTTTTCTCACTTTTGCATTAAGTTTGAAACTTCACAATGTGTTGCAACTATTTTACTATAGATAATCCCTTATCCATCAGAGATTAAAAATGAGGAATCATTAATCATTTTTGCCACTCTGCATTTTGGGTTCAGATACCAATTTTTCACCTGTGTTATTTTTCCTTCTTTCCAAAGAACTTGCTTTAATGTTTTGTAATACCAGTCTGCTATGAATAAAGGGTCTCATCTTTTGTATAAAATCTGATGCCATCTCCAGGCAGATAGTGTCAGAATTAAACTGACTTCTGCACTTCTGACTTTTGCTTGTGTTGAAGAATTGCTTGTTGGTATGGGGGAGACTTCACACATGCTCAGGACCCAAAATCCAGTGGCCTTGGGAGAAATGACTGAACCTTGAACCTCTCTGTTCTTCAGTTTCCTGGTCTATGAAATGGGCCTAATAATAGCATCCATCTCATAGTGTCAGGCAGTCAGGGCAGGGAGAGTGATGCCTAAGAAAACTAACAGCCAACTATATCCAAGATGCAGGAAAAACCTTCCTAGAAGGGGGAAGGCAGACACCCACCCCAACCTGCCAGGGCTGATACAACTGAGCTACGCCCCCAGCAGTGCAGTTGAAGGGGGCATGGCATAGAAACTCCTGTCAGGACCAGTGAACCAACATCTGGAGTAGCTGCACCATCAACCCCAGGAAGGAACAGCGTGAGCTGCCTTTTACACCTCCTTTAGGACAGGAATCCCCCACTGTTGATGCAACTGTTCTCCCATGCACTCTGCCCCCTCGGGCCCCCTTCCTGGGTATACTGTCACTAAATAAACTTTGCTTTGCCCACACTTAGCTTTGAATACTTTCCTGGCCATAGTTGAGAACCAGAGACCCCTTTCAAACTGCTAAAGACAGGATCATCACAGGTTATTCCAGTTACAGCCCTGAGCAGATTGCTTGGCATTAGGATCTCCACGACTTAGTTCCTGGACACCATCTTCAGCGCCTGTCACACAGCATCTGGGGACGCAGGAATGAGTGAGCACGAGGACTGCTTGTTTTGTGCATTTATTGTTGCTTTGGTGCATTTAGTCTTTGCTCCTGGGGCTCCCTTCTGCCGTCTGAGTCGGGGGCTCATCTATGGTGAAGAGGACTCAGACCTGGCAAAGCAGCTGAGAGGCTACAGCCGTGAACCTACTTTCCCCAGATTGGGGGTGCCAAGGGGCCAAAGAGGGAGATCCTAGAGGAGGGGAGGCCCAGCTCAGCTGCAGCCGCAAGGGGTGGAAAGGCTGTGTAGATGTGGTCTGGGGTCAGGAGCCTCTGCAAAGGTAGATGGGCACATCCCAGGGGAGAATGAAACTGGAACTGGGGACCCAAGATAGGAATCAGCCTGAGAGCAGCAGGGTCCTCAACCTACCCTACTCCTCTCACCCCCCCAATTGGGACCTTAGGGTCACAGGCATAAAGCCAGGTTTGGTGAGCTGACGAGGCTGCAACAGGGGCCGAGGAGGCTTGAAGTCAGATCGAGGTGCAGGGGCATAAGGGGTGTCCAGTCCAAGGAAGATGATTGTTGTCAGGTGGTCTCCAAGTCACCGAATGAACAGTCCACGGGCTCCCTGCGTGCGGGCCCATCTGGCAGAGCCACTGTCACGGACATGCAGGCAGGATCTGGCCCGCCACTTCGTACACAGAGGCCCGGGCGCCTGGCTCCTTAGTGCAGGCGGGCGGGGCCGTTGCTCAGGGAGGAAGGCGCCTTACCCTGATTGGGGTTGGCCACTTTGGCCAGAAAGAGGATGCTCTCGGTCTTTTTGGAGACGATGCACAACAGAAAGGGCCTGTTGAAATTCATAATTTTCATCGGGCCCCATTTTCCAGACAAGGGGATCATTTTAACTCCTGTGGCGGCCGCTGCTTCCGTGCCCACCTCAGCCACGTCAAGCTCCGTCTGGTGGACCATCTGTGGGGACACGAGAACATTACCCACCACAGGCAGGATGGCGAGGGGAAGTGTCCTCCCTGAGCACTTCCGAGGGGACTGACATTTAGCAGCCGCCGCTGGCCTGGCGTTCTTCATCTGTCCCCCACAGGCCTGCCGCGGGTTGGCATAGTCCCAGCACATGGACAGACGAGGCTCAGGGGCAGTAGTGATCTGCCCGGGGTCCCGGGGGTTGAGAATGGGGTGGAAGCACCCTGCTCTGGACCCCCCTCTGAGCCACTCCCCACTTATTGTTGGGGGCGGGGAGGACAAGAGCAACGCCAGATGTTTTTCTTGCATGCAACTTCCTGGAAGCCTCTCCACTTCAAAGCAGCTGGAGCAGATCTCTCTTGGGCCAGGCTCTCGGCTGCTTTGCACAGGATGTGGTTCCCATCCCTGGACTGTGCACTCCCACTACCACACCTTTTGAAAGGTGGGGTACAGAGGAGAGTGGGGGGCTGCCCAGCTGCCCCCCGCCCTTCTGACCACTCTGCTCTGGGAGCGCAGTGCAAGGTCTACTCTTAGTGTGTTGTCATCACAACAGCCACATGGCGGTGGTTACTGCCCATCACCTCTTATTGCTCTGCGGGCGCTGCATGCTAGCCAACAACTTTCACCCCAGCTTTACAGATGACAAAGCTGAGGGGCAGAGGGATTTACTTCCTCGGCCCCTGTAGGCATTAGCATGGGTGGGGGCCACACAAATTCCAAGCCAGGGTCCTCCCTGTGACAGGCTGTGTATCCTGTGATATTGCAGGGGGAGGTGGGGTGGGGGGTCAGCCCCAGCACAGTGGTAACCTCATGCTTCTGGGTGGGGGCAGGGGTGTGGGGAGGGGTTGTCCCAGGGAAGGTGATGGGATGATTCCACATTATCCAAAGGTGTGCGTGGCCTCCACCCTTCAAGTAGTATCCCAGGCCTAGCGACTCACCTGGGAAACCTTCAGATTCTTCCTTCCGGTGACTCCCGAGAAGTCAGCCTGGTGGGTGAAGACTTTTCTTATACCCAGCCTGGGCAGAATATTTTCCAGCTGGTAGTTGCTGGAGATGGAAAACTTGGGCAGGTAGAGCTCATCTATGAGGCTAAGAAATGAAAAACATAAACCTGAACATCCGCTTGGCTGGGTACCCACATCCCCCACCCCCCCTCACAGTCTGGTCTTCCCTTATTTCCTCTCCAGCCTCCCCTGCTCTTGCTGGAATAAATGCTCCTTTCCCAAGTTTCGCGACTGTCCATCCACAGACGCAAGTGCCACTGTGTGATGGGCAGGGATCCGAGCCTGGCCTGTTCTCTGAAGCTTGAAGAGCAGCCAGAAACACCCACACTCCAGCAAGCACACTGGGAGACTGTGCCGGGGCGACCCACTCCACGGGCACCAGGAAGGCTTCCTGCAGGAGGTGGCATGGAGCCTGAGTCCCAAAGGAGGGAACAGAGCTGAAAAGGAGGGAAGGAGCAGGTGGAAGAAATTGCAGGAAGGTGGAAAGAAAGTGGGGGTGCCCCATAGCCTGGAGGGCAGCCTTCAAGTGGGGGGAGGAGAGAGGAGAGGCCATGGGCAGGGGCTGAGCAGAGCATGAAGGGCCTGTGGCTACATCTGAAGGGACTGGGGGATCCTGAAACAATGAACTGAAGCTCCCACGTTGTCTCCGCAGTGAGCACCTTGAGGATGAGGACTGCTTCTGAGCTGAACTGGTGAGTTCTTAGGCAAAAACCCTCTGAGCCCCACCTCTCTGCAACATTTCCCTTAAGAATCTTGTCATGGTCTCTCAGGCCTTACAGTCGCCAAATATGAGGAGGCTGTACCTCCCGTTAAACTTTGAGTCCATGGGCATAGAGAGGGCATCTATTCCTCTGCGATTCATTCATTCAGTAAATATTTACTGAGCACCCACCACGGGCCAGGAATGTCTGAGGCAGGTTTTCTCAGTGCTTTGTAAATCAGGGAATATTCTATCCATGTACAACTAGTCATCAAGCCCCTGCTATGTGGTAGATATTTCGTGTTAGAGGAGGAAAGTTTCAGGCAGGCAGGAAGAACACAGGGTGTTGTGGGGTCAGATGTGTGTCCAGGGGTCTCCTGGGATCTGCTGAGCAGGAGCCAAGACACGCAGCATCGGTGGCCAGGATGCTCCTCTCCATTCAGTAGGAAGCTGAGCCCCAGGGGAGAGCAGTGGCTGGCCAAGGTCAGGCTGCCCTGGGGCGTGAGCCTTGGAGCTGGACTTGGTGTCGGGACTCTCCTCCTTGTCAAGCTGCCTGCACCCCCTCCCTATACACCCAATCCCCTGGCAGGGCCCAGCACTACATCTGCCTCCCTTGTTCCCTTTGATATTCGTCTCCTGAAGTCCATGTCCTGGCCTGACTCTACCCTCAGGTTTATCTGGAACCAGATATCCTCCTTGGACCTACCTTCATTGATCGCACCCAGATTCCTGCCCTTGACTCCTAAATGGCCCCTGCCTCCGCCCCCCCTCGCCCCAACACCTGTCCTCTGCACACTATTCTCCGCTCAGCATCGCCGATAGTCCTTCAAAAACAACATTCGGGTCATTCAGTTTTGGGCCCAATTCTCAAGATGACTCTATTTCACTTAAGGAGGAAGAGTTAAAGTTTTCTAGGGGTCTGCACAGCCCTGCATACCCCAAGCAAGCCACGCCCTGATCCCAGACCCTTCCTCTCACTCATTCTGCTCCAGCCACTCTGGCCTCACTGATCCTCAAACACACCAGCGAAGGTATCTCTGTGCTAGAGTTTTTGCACCGGCTGTTCCCTCTAAGTACAATGCTTTTCCAGCATATCCATGTGGCTTAATCCTTTCCTTCAAATATTGCCTAATGGTTACCCTATTAAAAATCACGAACTACCTTTTGGTCCAGTTTTCCTAATTTTTTTTTTTTTTACCCTGCTCTACTCTCCTCCTACGCCTATTTTTCACCTTCTAAAAACATCAAATAATTTCCTTGCTGATTGTATGGTTTTATTGTCACTCTCAAAGGAAGCTGCATGAGCATAAGGAATTGTGCTTTTATTTGCTAGTGCAGCCTCAGGGTCTAAATGAGTGCCAGGCACATAGTAGGTGTTCATTTAACCCTTCGACACATGCTGATTGAAGGAACATAATAGTTCTCAGTCTGTCTCACCTCAACAGGCACAATTCCTTGTGTCCACCTTGACTTTGAAGAGGTAAAGATAAGGAGAGAACACTCGTGGGCGTCGGGATTACTCATGCCTAAGCGGATGTTAAAGATTCCCCGTTCGGTCCAACATCATCATCGGAGAAAATTAGCCCAAAGCCACGCAGGCAGCCAAGGGGGAGGTGATCCCAGACTCCACCCATCCCAGTACCTGTTCTCCAGCCACCACCTCCACCAGGCCCTGCATGACGGGGGGGCAGTGGGCATTGAGGAAGAGGGGGTGTCCCCGATGGAAGGAGGGCGGGCAGGTATCAGGCCTGGGCTAGTCACCTCATCTGCAGCGAGGCTCTCCACCTCCTCAGGGTCTCGGGGCTCAGCCTGGCCTCCACCTGCCGCATTTTGCCAGTGTCAGGGAGGATTAAGAGGGCACTGTCGTTGCTGGTGTACTGGAGCTCCAGCACCGTGCAGCCCAGCGCCTTGTCCCGGAAGTTGGGCGCGGTCAGCTCCTCCATGCTCATCATGGACACCGTCACCGGCCTGCTCTTGCTCACGTAGAACTTGGTCTTGAAAGTATCTCGGGGGTCAAAGGGTTTCTTCCACTTGGCTAGAGGAGGATGGAGTGGTCAGAGAACTGTGACCCGGGGCTGCCCTGCCTGCTCCCTTGCTGGGTCCCCCAAGGTTTCTCCCTTGAAAGAATGAAATAGTTTCTCCTGCCTGCATTGGCCAAAGCACCTGCTAAATAGGTGAGCTGTTGGGGGTGAGCCTGGCAGGAGGCCGTGAAACAAAGACCTGGTTCATTTGCTAAGTGGGAAGCCAAAAATGTGACAGTGCAAAGAGGGGAGGAGGAGATAGGTGACCTCCCTGGGAGACACTGGCAATCCCTGAAGCCTCAAGAGAAAGGCCAAAACATTTGGGGGAGTGTTTGGGGAGAAAAAGGAGGAAAGAGGCTGAGCCCCGTGTGTGGGTTGCTTGCTGCAGACAGAGGGGAATGCCCATCCAAGTGAGCCATCTGCACCTGAATGGTGCCGGGAGGACCCCAAGAACAAAACCCCATGGGCAATGGTGACATCTTGGGGGGCAGGGGCACCAGGCATCCCCAGTGCCATGGGTCGAGAAGTGTGGCTTATCTTTCGTAACTTGCAGGGATGGATGGATCCCCTCACGTCGGGTCACGTCCACCCACGGGCTGTCCTTGTGATCTGCCCAGATTCACTCTGGATTCTCAGTCTGGGGCCCCTATAACCCACCCCCAATCCAGGGGGGTTTGGGATTGTGACAATTTCTCAGGCTCAGCAGCCAGTAGCGCGGCATCTGTGCCTCTCGGCCAGCCTTGGCCTCTAAACAGCCCGGCCATGCACCTTCCTGGAGGCCGCCCCCTCCCAGCCAGTCCTGGGAGGGATTTCCAAGGTGAGGTCAGTCCTGTTAGCAGGGCAAGTTTAAATCAGAATAAAAAGGCCTTTGTCCAGTTCAGACAAAGGGTTAATGGATTCCTCTGCAGAGTCCAGGAATTTGGAACCCCATGAAGGAAGACAATGCCTATCAGGCAGGCCAGCTTGGACCTCCCACCCCCAGCCCAGGGCACCCTCCTCTGCCTGGAATGTGTCGATTTACACATTCCACAGAGCTGGGACACAAAGACCCCTGAAGGCTCAGAGCTACCAAGGCGAGTGTTTCCCTCCACCCCCAAGCCCGGCCCCACCTTTAAAGAAGATGTAATTCACCAGGACCATCGCCGTGGGCTGCTCAAGGCCCTTGATCAAGTCCACAATCTTCCCCTGGGTTTTCTTCTCCACGTAGCTGTTGATGAGCTTCTCGGCAGCGGCGGTGTCCATGAAGCTGGTGGAGAAGGCCTCCGCGGCATACAGCGCCTGGGCTTCAGCCTTGAACTTTTCCAGCAGCCTCAGCGACTCGTCGATGAACATGGCATTGCCCAGGCTCAGCTGCAGCTGGTCGTTGGGACGGCTGAGGGTGCTCAGCAGGTGCTGGAAGCCCTGGTGGATTTCTGACTCAGGGATCTCTGTGAGGTTGAACTTGAGGCCCTTCAGGATCTCTGTCCAGGTGGCGCTACGAGCCCCCAGGGACAGGAAGGCCAAGGCCATGGAGATGCTCAGCGGGGAGAAGGCCACATTCCTGTTGCGGTTCTTTGCAGCCAACTGCTTGTAGAGGCCGAAGGCAAATTTAGTGTTGCTGGAGGCTAATCGGAGGGTGTCCCTGGGCGCGCCCGTGAGCTGGCCCTCCTGGGCCACATTTTCCTGCTCAGGAATGTCCTCCGATTGACCACGCACGGGGGCGCAGAGCCCAGCCACCAGGAGCAGGGCTAGGAGGGGTGACATCCCTTTGCCTTCAACTCTGAAAAGCAGAGCTCCAGTAAGTCTAGAAAGAGCAGAGGGTGACCTGCTCCTGTCCCACCGCTCCCTTGGGGGCCTGCGTTCCTGCCTCTGCCTTGAGCTGGTTTTGTGACTGCCCCGAGGAAGGTGCCCTCCCAGGTACCCAACACATATGAATTACACCTGATTATATTCCACGTTCCCTCCCACTCTTTGAGGGAAGAACTCTAATGTCATTTCCCCACAGAGAGGTGAAGGTGTTACAGGGCAGGGAGAGGGGCAGCCCAAACCCCACAAACCTGACTATTTTATATAGGGTTCTGCCATCCGCTGCATTTACACAAAACATGAGACTTTAATGGGAAGGAACTTTAATACAATTAGGAAACAAGACCTTGGGCCCGACTCACCTCTCTGAGTGGGGCTGGCCCTAGTGAGGGTTCAGGTGGCGCAAAAAGCTGCTGGGCAGTGCTGGTGCCTTGGTGGCTGTGATGATTGGCGTGAAGACCTAAGGGAGGCAGAACATTCTTTGCAATCCCTGCCTTGGGAAGCCTCAAAGCCTTCCCGATGAGGGGAAAACAATGGGCTTCAGGTCTCAGGGACCTGGAGGGCTTCCTCTGGGCCGCTGGGAGTGCTGTGGGGCGACCTCTCTGAGGTGGATTCCCACCTCTCTGAGAATGAGTCCCATCTCTGCACAAGTTGAGTGGCTCCCGTGAGATAAAGGGTGAAGGGGTTTGACTTATAGTGACGGCGGAGGAGAATAGAAAAACGGGAAAGGAGGTGCCACAACCCCAGAAACCTGGCTCACACAATGCCAGGAGCTGGAGGGGGGGTAGAAAGGATTAACACAGCCATTAACCCAGCTATAGGAACCAAGGTCCTTAGGCCCCAGCGCCCAGCTCACCGAGGACCCAAGCAGGCATCAGGCTGCAGCAGGGGGTGTCGGGAGCCTGCGCACAGGCCTGAAGGTGGAGATACGGGAGATTGAGGGCCAGGGTAGACATCCGGCCTCTTTCAAATTCTACATACTTTATTCAAAGTCAACAACCAACAAACCCCTCCAGGGAGAAGCAGGCTCCCCTCCCCCAAAAGAAGAGCAGTCACTCTCAGGGCGGTGCAGGGGCTTCTTTTCACCAGCTCTCTGTCCCTCCCCGGGCAGCCGCCTCCTGCCTGTCCGTGCCCTGTCCCAGGCCGGGGCTTCTCAGCACTGACCTCCCTCAGCGGAGGCCGCTCTCCTCCAGGCCGCCCGCCTGCGACAAGGCAGGCCTCTCTCAGCAAGCCTGTTCCTTTCGGGGCAGCCCTTTCTGCCTGCCAGTGTCCACGCAAGTGTCCTTTGCTCTTCTGTCCCCTTCTCTAATAAACCTGCTCTTTCAAATGTAACGAACGTCTCTGTCTCGTGGGGACACTCGCCCGGGAAACACACCGCGCGCCGCTGAGGAGGAAGCTCTGCCCACACCTCTCCCGCAGTGAACCCGAGGACCCGCGCTCAGAACCCAGCAACTCCAAAACACACACGAGCCATCGGTGTTCCCTGCTCTCAGTGGGTGAACGTGCAGCAGGAGGTGAACTTGCTCTCAGGAGCGGCAGGTCCAGCTCCAGCCCAGGGCGCAGGGGATGCAGCGGAGGCTCAAAGACCGGGGAGAGGCTGATTTCAAAGCTGGTGGCTGCAGCACTAGGACTGCTGGGCCCGCAGCCTCCACCCTCCCAGCCACCCACCCAGGCCCCGCTCAGAGCAGAAAGGGCAGCTCCGGCGGGGGAGGGAGAAGCAGGGGAAGCAAGTACGGGCAAGAGGAGAGGGAGTTGGGGTGATTTTCTTCAAAGGCCGTGGAGAAACCCGGCGAGGAAGGCCACTCGGTTGCGGGCCCTGCTTGTTGATGCTCAGGCTGACGCAACTATTTCTTGGGGAAACAGTTACACATTTTTTTTCTCACAAAGTTATTTTTGGAGAAAAAGTCTTGTCTGTTTGGACACGCTGGCAGGCAGGCTGCCCTTCCCGGCTGGGGGTCCTTGAGGTGAGGGCCCTGGGACAACTCCCCACCCTCAGCCCCCCCACCCCACCCTGTGGCCTCTGCCCCGGGTGGGCACAATAATTCTGTCCCTCAGGAGCCCTACTGGGGTCAGACTAAGGGAGGGAGGCACCCGTCCTGCAGGACTTCGTGTCCTGAGGAGGAGGGGTTGCAGGCACTATGGTATGGGGTACCCGTGAATCAGGATCCTGGCTGGAGTCAGCGCGAGTGTTAGAGGAGAAACGGCTCCAAGCACCTCCATCCCCCTGCAGGTGTGAAAACCCAGAGCCCCAGGGAGGGCTGGGGATTCAGAACCAGGACCCCAACTGTCCCGCAGGGCTGGGCATCCCCCTCTGAGGCCCTCCCACTGCCCCACTCTGAGGCCCTCCCACTGCCCCTTTCTGGGGGCCTGAGGAGAAGGCCTAGAGGAAGCCTCCGGATTACCTGGCGGGAGAGCTGTGAGGAGGGCGTCCCTGCAGGCCGGGGAGTGCGGGATGCCTGGATGCTAGGCTTATTTATCCCTGCGAGGGACTCCTCCCCCTCTGGGAAACCTTGGCTGGGCCACCCAAGGAAGTGTTGCTCTCAGACTGGAGACGGCCCCATGGTGGTTTCTGGTAACAGGGATTTATTACATCTACTCAAATAGTTCAGTGAGGGCAAGAGCGCTCATACTTTTTTCCGCCAACAACAAAAAACAAAAACCTGCCTTGTTTCAACAAAACCCCCAAAACTTTCCTCATTTCACTTTCTCTTTGGTTTGTTAAATTACTCACTGAGGAACACTGGGCATCCAGAGAACGGGACACAGGAAAATTCCCTGATATTGGTATTTTTTTTTTTAAATAACCATCCTTGTTAGGTTTTTTCCCCTCCTGTTTATGAAACACTCGTCAGGAGCCATGTAAACAAGTCAGAACACTCAGAGAAGAAAGTGTTGGGATACCGTTTAATAAGCTTGAAAACTAACCCCCCACCCCTTGCACAGAAAGCAAGTAGGGGAGGCCTCGATAGATAAGGGAAGTGATAAGGTTGCCATGGGAACCGGCCCTGTGACTGACCACCATGACCAGAAAAGCCAGCCCAGCTCCAGGAATGCAGGAGCAGAGGCCAGAACTCCTTTCTGTGTCAGAGGCCAGAGCCTGACCAGACATCCCTGGTGCCAACTGGCGCCCCAAGTTAGAAAGCCCTCGAAGACAGGGTATACAAAGGAGCCCCAAATCCTCTCCTTTGCACCTCTCCCATCTTGCCCGCTGCTCCCCTCATCAGTGTATTTCAATAAATACGCCTTTTCTGCTCTCCTCTCTGTCTCTGGTGAATTCCTTCAGCCCTGAACCTCTGGCCTCACCGCAATATTTCTCCCCACTACAAAAATCTTCCCCAGAATTTATCACCAGGGGAAGTCCCAGGAAACAATTCATCTGATTTCTTTACAAGTCACTTCTCTTTGATGTGTCTGTGATTTGAATCTTGATACACAATCAGATATAGTTTTTAAATGTAGCACCTTTATTTTCTTACAGATTTTCATTTTCAGGCCCTACCCTCAGAGAGGGGCGATGGATTTGAGGGCCCCAGACTCTAAGGGGAGCTCTGTTTTGGGGCCCTTCGTCCTGTTGCTCTTCCACTCTTGGTTCACCTGGCAGCTGGTTGTCTCTCCCTTCTGACCTGCAGATCTCTCTGAGCTAATCCCAGACCTTTCTTGGGCTCTCCCAAGGGAAAAATCTCCATAATCCTGTGTAGTCACAAACCTCCATTCCCAACAACCTCTAACAAATGTGTGTGGAACCCTCTGGTGTTCCACAGAATGCAGTCTGAAAACCACTGGATTCATGGTGCGGGGATGGCTTGGGCACCCCGTCCACGGGCACCCAGTCCACGGGCACCCAGTCCACGGGCACCCAGTCCACGGGCACACAGCACAGGCAAAGAGCAGGGCATCTTCATGCTTCCATCCCCCTCCCAAATGCCTGACGTGATGGTAATAAAGCTGATGTGCAGTCAGACTAAATATTGCTCTAGTGCGACAGGATCTGTGTTTGGTTTGTTAGTGAGGCATCTCAGTTTTGTTGACAATGGAGCACGGAAGTGGCCAAGGAGAGTTTGTTCTGTTCTCCCTGAAAGAATGACATGTCCTTTCAGGCTCCAAACATTTTTAGAACTGGACAGTTTAAAGTTACCCAGAATCCCCAGGAAACAGGGTAAAGAGATGATTTTACCCTCGTGGCGGGGGGTCCTGCCACCAGGGCAGGCTGATTGCCTCACACCGTGGGGCTGAAGATTCCTGGCGCCTCGCACCTTGGGGCTGAAGATCTTGTCATGACCTGCATACTGTTCTCTACCTTTTGTTCTTGGCCACAGGAGCAAACAACCTATTTGGGAAGTTAAGTTCTGGTTAAACATTGATTTGGGGCTCAGGCACACTGGGGGAGACTAGGTGGGTGAGCACGCTCAACCAAACACGCTGAGAATTTGTTTTAAGCTCCTGACCCTATACCTTTTAGAAGTTTAGTTGAAACGTGATGATTCAAGAGAAGGAGAGGCCGGCAAACAGGAGACGCTACTGATTAGTAAGGCTGCTGACTCCACGCTCCATGCGGGCTCCCAGCTGGAGGCTGTAAAGCTAGAGCTGGTCTTTGATGTCACAGCTTCAGCGAAAGGATGTGCGCTGATGATTATCCCCTGTATTAAATGATTGACTAACCTAGTCATGAAGTTAAGTATAATTCCTTCATTAACCCTAAAGGGCACCTTTTCTTTAGAGTGTCCGTAGACGCCAGATGGCCCCGGGAAAGGAATGCACTGATTGTTTCCGCTTTACTGCGATGCATAGACTGAGTTCCCTCACGCTTGCCTGCGTGCATAAATGCAGAACCGCTGAGACCCTCCGCAGGAGATACTAGCACGAAACACTTTGTGTCTGTGTCTTCCTCACTCTCTCTGATTGCGCCCATGCCATCCCATCCTTCAGGAACCCCTGACTCCAAGGCTGCTGCAGCAACGACTGCAGTTTATTCTCGCGCCTGTAGTTCCAGAGGTCGGCCGTGGGCTGGCACGGTGGCTGCCGTGGACCTGGCTCCTTGTGTCTTGTTGCTCTGCCGTTGCTGGTGGTGGCCTTTCTGTCCAGGATGACTCATGGCCGTGTCCGCCTCCCACTCAATAGGAAGGCAAGAGGGGCAGGACGGTGGACGCTGTCCTTTGAAATGAATGACCCGAAGGCCGCTGACGTCACTTCCACTACGTTGCATTGGCTGGAGTTGGTGGTGGGGCCGCACGGGGCTGAGGAGCGCGGCTGTATTTTGCATTGGACTGTCACGTGCCTGGTAGACATTTGGGGTTCTATTACCATGAGACAGAAGATGCGAACAGATACTGGGCATGAGTAATAATCTTGCCCCACGGGTCACCTGCATGCTCCCAGTTTTCCACCCCGGAGGAAGCATCATTTTCTTGAAAACGGAACTGGCTTAGTCTGAAGCTTCAGTCAATATGAAAAGCAGACAGCCCTCTACCTTCCCTGGACACCACTGAGGATCTTGCGGGGCTCACTTTTCTTAGTGAGTCCCCAGAACAAGGCCTCAGAACCCCCACCATGGATCATGCCAGCCTCCCCCCGGGCTCCTCCAGACTTCCTGGGTGTGCCCGGGCCCCGCAGGGCCCACACCCCTGCTGCCAGGAAGGCACAGCTCATTGTCTTCAGGGCGAGCGTCAGGGAAGCTAAGCAGAAAAACGCAGAAAAGCTAAGCACAGCTGATACCAGGCGGAACCATTCCAGAATGAGCTGGCTTCTCCACGGTCATCTCCCCCCGCCAGGTCACCTCTCCACGGACTGTTTGCACCCCAGAACAGCAGTCCCTGAAGAATATTCTTGCCCCTGAGGCTCCTTCCAAGCAATTCTCTGTGGCACCAGCTGGGCCACTTACACTTCAGCTCAATTCAGCATCATGTGCCTGCAGAGAGCTCCGGCCCCTTCAGATGTGCTGACATAGATGAGAGCTTCTGCTGGCCCCCTCCTTGGGCTTGGCTGGTTTTCTAGAATAGCTCACAGGACTCAGGGACACACTTTCTACCTTTAGCAACTTATTATAAAAGGGCACAGAGGAACAGCCAGGCAGGAGAGACGCTGGGGGCAGGCATAGGGGGAAAAGGGTTGACGTTTCCATGTTGACTGTCACCCTCCTGGCAGCTCTACGTGGTCCCCAACACCAGCTCTCCTAATCCCCAACTATTCGGACTTTCAGGGGGGCTTCATCTCATCTGTGTGACCCATTTCTAACTCCACTTTCAACCCTTCTCAAGAGAATTGGAGCAGGGGGCAAGTGGGGAGGGGGCTGCGTGTGAAAGCTCTGGGCTGCTCATCATGAGCAACCCCTCTCCAGAAGCCCACCCAGAGTCTCTTATTAGAAGCAAAGACTCACCCCGGGGTGACCAGTGTGGCAGAGCCCCATGTCCAGAGCCAGGGGCAGGGATTCTGTCTTCCATGACCCCACACATACAGCAGCTCCTCTTTTAGCTCCACTCACATTGGCGCTCGGACCCACAGAGGCTTGGAGTTGGGGTGAATTTCTTTGTTCCCCTCCCACCTCTCTGCACCATTCCAATTGAGGGGCGCCCTCCCCCTTGGGGACCTTCTCTTGTCTTTCTATTTCTTGTCCACTGGTCTCCTGGTCCTGAAAAGCCCTCTGCCTCCTTTGCCCCACCTGCCCCTTCCCCCAAACCCCAAACCCCTTCACTCCCAGAGCCCCTCTGTTGTTCCGGTACTGGGGGCCGGGGGGGGGGGCGTGCTAGCATCCCACAGGCAGGATATCTACCAGATAATCTGCGTCTGACATCACCCTGCCCCCTGTGTAACTCTGGCTCCTGGTTAGGTTGAAAAGAATCGCTGTCCTCGTTTTATCTAAAGGGTTATCACCGGCGCCAGCCTCAGGATGGGGCAGGCGACTTAGGACAGAGTCCAGCACCGGGCCCCAGGACGTCCGAGGTGGGGCTGCTGGAGGCGGGACGCCCACCTCAAGCCAGATTCACGTTCCCATATTCTTTCTTTAAAAAAAATTTTCGAAAGGAAGACATTTTCGTCCTTGAAGATAGGAGCGAAAATGACAGTCTTGGGAGGCTACTTCTTGCACAGGCGAGGGAGTCGCTGCTTTGTGAGGCACAGGTGGTGCAAGAAGGCCGTCTCCTTCACGTGGGCGGGGGCCCCGCCGAAGGGGAGCTCTGTCCTGCTGGTCCCCCACCACCCGTGACCTGAGGGGACCCAGGTGGGCAGCCCAGGGAGGGCTGGGACGTTCCTCCTGGCTCTGGTGGGCTCAGGGCTGCTGATGACAATTGACTGGCAAAATAAATGAGTGAATGAAGGAATCAGGAGGGAGGGCTCAGCCCCGAAGAGCCTCCAGAGAGCTCGGGGAAAATTTCCTTCCCCGGGAGGATTAAGCACAGCTGAGGAAGAAAACATTTCACATTGTCAAGGATTTTCGAGAACATCGGGTCGGGTGTCTGGTTACGTGTCTATCTAGTACTGGCCCTGGCTTGAGAAAAACAAAGAGGGCGGTGAAAATTTCCCAGACCTATTTAGGGCCTTATCTTCTGGGAAGTGGAAGTTTTAGTCATGCCGTAAACCTCTGCGTGGACATTCTTTGAAATAACTCTTTTGTGTGGAGATGGCAGTTCCCAAAATGCTGCTTTTTCAAAGAGACCTTTTTTTTTTTTTCCCTCTTGGAAGCTCTCTTCAGGGCCAGGCTCTTGGCTTGTGACCCTTTATTGGAACCTGGAGAAGGGGATCCATCCACTTAATTGCTAACTGTGGTTAACGATGCCCGGTTCCGGGCCTCCTGGTGGCGCAAGGGGTTAAGATGCAACCTATGGAGCTGTCCACAGCCACTGCAGCACGAGTTCGAGCCCCAGCCAGCCAGGGAGCTACCCACATGGCACAGCAAACCTCTCCTGACTCTCCCGCTGCTCCCCTTGGCAGTGGATTTCAGTCCTTCTGCCTGTTCTGTTCCCCACTCTGTCTCTGGTGGATCCTCTCACCCCCCACACCTCTGGCCTGTACCCCAGTTCTTGTATGAATAAATAAATAACTCTTTAAAAAAAAAAAAAAAAAAAACAATGCCCTGTTCCAGGGGGCTGTTTCCAGGGCTCAGCAAACCTGGTGGTTCTCAGGCGTGGGCACTGCCACCCAAGGCAGAGTGGCCTGTGTGAGTGGCCATAGCGTCTGCCTCAAAGGTGGACAGAAAAAGGCCTTTCCGGTGCTCAGCCCTGGGACTGGGGCTTGGCATTGCCCCATCCAAGGGCCAGCCCTTGCCATGTGCCCAGTGTCGGGGTGCAGAGGAAATCATCTCCTACCCTTCTGGGTTTTTCTAGGCTGGCAGATCATTGAACAAACGTCACACACACTGGTCAGAGAAGACATGACATAGAAGTTTAGTAATAACTTATGTAATAGTAATGACAAGTGTATCTGGGGGAGACCCCGCGTGACTGAGTAGCTAGCACAAGGGCCTTTAGCTGCCATCTTAAATAGCTTAGCTAAGACAAAGGAGGTTGGGGGAGAAAATTCGGAGTGGGCATTTACTGGGGAAATGGAGGCACTTCTGTCTTCCCAAGGAAAAGAGACGGGATCAGGTCTCGTTAGAAGAGACCCTTACCGAGAGAAGGGTAGTCAAGGACATCAAAAGCAGCCTCCAGCCAATCTTCAGAGCCTCTCCCCGAAATCAAGCTTTTCCACAAAAGACATATTTTGGGGTGCCTGAAGTTTGCACCCCTCTACCAGTTACATGTGGAATCCATGGGAACTGGGTTATTTGGACTTTGCAAGCGTGACCTTTGGGCTGCGGCTCGACTTCCCATCGTGGCAGCAACCTCTTCTTGGTACAGGTGGGCCCAGGAAAACCCCTGGCCAGGCTGTGTCCACACTCGGGCTGGGACTGGGAATGGAGGCGAGCATAGGTCTGGGAAGGGTAGGCCCACCCAGGAAGGGGGGACAGGAGGAACCCAAGTATGGGGGTGTCCCGACTCCAAGGAAAGGAGAGGCAAAAGCCAATTCCTTCCTGAAGGTTTCTCCCTGCAGGGGGAGGAGGTGGGGTTCATGGGCAGGACCTCCTCGTCACCCAGGCTCCTTGGGCAAAATGGCTTCGCCACCATTTGCTAGCCTGGGGCCTTAGGCCACTCGCTTCACCTCTCCGAAGCACCTCTGTCCATCACAGCTCCTGAGGAACTGGTAGGGAGAAAGAAGACGCTGACAACTGCCCGGCCTTGTCGCTCACAGGCCGTGTCTCTGTCTCTGCTAGAAGAGACCCGACAGGAGGCTGGGGCTGTCAGCCTCGTGCGCTGCTCCCTGGTGGCCTGGTGTGGGCCTGGCTTTGGGTCTGGGGAGATGCTGGTGGCGATCGGAGGCAGAGCCCTCAGCACAGCGCAGCCCCCGCTGTGCCGGGTCCTCACAAGGTGGGGGGCGGGGCACGCCTGGGGACACCCCAGCGGGGAATGCCTGGCTCTGTTCTGGAGGCCGCTGAGTCATCCTCATCCTCCTCCCGAGGTATCTCTTGCCTTCCAGCAGGGAGCAGTTGCCGTCACTTGCTTCTCCTTCAGTTACGGCCTCCGCTTCTCTTTCAAAGCCGCCTTCCCAGTTCCAGGCAGCAGCAAGAGGGCCTGGAAAGCCCGTCAGTTCCTCTGGTTCTGCTGGAGTCAGAGCTGCCTGGACGACCTCACGCACGCATCCGCCTCCCTGAGCCTCAGGACTATTGTCTGTATCAAGGGGACAGGAAATCCCTCCTCACACACACACTCATTTATTCTCTCAGGCCTCCCGTGTGTTGCTGTTATAGGGCAGCCCCGATATTGAACGGGTTCCTGGCTGTGGGTCCTCACCCGCGCTTACAAGGGACTTATGAATACTCCACTGCAGGACACACAACAGGTTCATAAAAGGTTTATTTACAAGAGAAAAGGAAATAAGGAAAATGGACAACCCAGGGAGAAAATAGGGAAATAAAGTCTTTAATGCGTCCTACCCGATCCGCCGACCTGGGGGCACTCTCCGAGCTGGCCGGATGCTGCGAGCTGGCGGAGAGCCCAAAATAGGGGACCCCCCAAGCCCACGTGTCTGGCTTTATATCAACCTGGCTGCTGAGCCCCACCCTCAGGTCCCAGGCCCCTTCCCTTGGGTGGTGACGGGATGTGGAGTTCCCAGTGTCTTTGGCTTTGGCCTGGGGTGGGGGTGGCGTCCACAGAGCCTGTATGGGATTAGCTTTAGGACAGCCTTTTACCCCTAACATGACCACGACTCTCCGATGAAGACAATTACACTGCCGGATTCTGGGTCCAACACTCTGTACCTCGGGTTCTCTCTCTGTCTCTCTCTCTGTCTCTCTCTCTCACACACACACACACACACAGACTGACTCACACACACACTCTCACATACTCTCATACTCACACACACTCACATACATTCACACTCACATACTCTCTGACACACACACATTCTCTCTCACATACACACACTCTCACAAACTCATACTCACACATTCTCTCAGCTACTCTTACACTCACACTCATGCACCCTCTCATACACGCTCATACATTCTCACACACATTCACACACAACAATCTCTCTCTCACACACATTTTCTCACACACATTCACACTCACATACTTTTACATTCTCTGATACACGCATATTCACTCACACACACACTTTTACAAACTCACACTCACTCTCTCACATACTCTTACACACACACACAACACTCACACACACCTGACACACAACAATCTCTCTCGTGCACACGCATGCATGCACACACACTCACACACTCTCTCAAGGCAGCCAGGCCTGAGCAGCCCTGGGAACAGCCGGCGCTGGAGGAGCCGCGGAGACGGCCAACAGCCACTTGCGTGGACTTGGCCTCCGGATTCTAGTGCCCCTCTGTCAGGTCTTCAGGGACTGCAGCCTCCACCCAGGACTTGACTACAAACTCAGGAGACGCCCAGAGCTAGAACCACCTACCTAGGCCTCTCCCAGACTCCTGAGGCTCAGAAACTGTGAGATAATAAATATTTGTGTTCCCAGTTGTGAACTTTTGGAGAAATTTATTAAGTGTCCATCGATGGATACCCCACATCCCCCTCCCTCCTGGCTCCTGACGTGTACACAGGGAAGGCTGCTCGTGTGAGAAAGCAGAGCAGGTCTCAGTGTGGCCTGTGTCCGCGGTGGGTGGGGTTGCTCGGCCTTCCCCATTTCCAGGCAAACGTGCCTGTTCTTCCTTCACCCACACCCAGGCCTGGTCCTAATGATGATGCAATCACGCCCACTCTGGTTTTTATGCCGAGAAGTGGCGAACCCTCACAAGCACTTCCTGAGGAGGGCTCAGCTCTTTGGCCTCACAGATGAGGCACAGAGAGAAGTGGGGCCCCGAGGCCATCTGACGCTGAGTCCCAGCTGGGTACCTCAGGGAGGACTGGGGGGCCCCCGCCGCTGGCCTCTCCAGCACACACAGCGCCTCTCCCTTCCCCAGACCTGTCCCCAGCCTGGCTGTGGAGACCTGTGGCCTGTCCCGAGAAGCCGGGGGCTGGGAGAGGAGGCTCCTGACTCAGGCGCTGCCCGTGCTGTGCCAGCTACAGGTCCTGGCATCGGGGGCCTGCCCTGGACCACTAGCCAGATTGAGGGCTCCATGTCTTCCCCTACACGCACCCCAGCAGCACGCGCTTCCTGAGCTGCCCCCTCTGCCTGGCAGTCCCACACCCATCCCCAAACCTGCTGTCTGTTGAAGGGCCGCTAATCATTCAAGACCGGCTCCTTTTAGGCAAAATCTAACCTGGCCCCTCAGCAATTCACAGTTAATGTGCTCTGCCCCTCTCTCCACGGCCACACCCCTCTGTTCATCCAGGACCTTGGGACCATGGAGTTTCGTGGCCTGTGGCGCCTGTGCCTCTCACACACGGCCGCTGTCTTGTGACCCAGTGTTCACGTGAACTTTAGACAGCGCTGACCCTGGCCTTATCCAGGTCACACACACAGGTGCTCCCCTGACCTTGGACTGCTGGGTAAACAGCCAGAGAAATATTTGTCAAAACAGCCCAGGCATTTTGCAAGGGGAAGGCACACAGGAGCGGGTCTGACCCCACGCAGGGTCCCATCCTGAAGGCGGGTGCCCAGCCTGAAGCACAGCGCAGGCAGGCTGCAGTCCTGCTGCAAACACCTGCCCTGCCACCGACCAGTGTGCGGGGCATCTGTGTCCCAGAGCCTGGACCTCGCTGTCACCTGCTGGGGTGCTCTGTAAAATGGGTGCACTGCTCTCCTTGTTGGGGGGACTAATGGGATCACAGTGCAAAGTGACCAGCCAGGGCTGGCAGATGCCCAGTGCTTTGGAGGAGCATCAGAGCTTGGGATTCTGACCTGGTCATTTCTAAGGGGAGACCTTGCATCATACAGTCCAGACTTTAGGCTCAGAGAGGAGACACAGCTTCATGGGAAGCACCGTGGGTGGGCAGGCACTCATGGACAGATTTGGGACCTAATTTGGGGACAGTCTGAATGAAGGACTCACTCACTCATTAATTCATTCACTCATTAATTCACTCACTCATTAATTCATTCCTTCATTTGAGAGAAGAGGAAGTGTGGTAGCCTTAGAGAGGGAGGAGAGTGAGCTGAGCTGGATCCCACGGGAGCTAGTGGCTGAGATGTCCCTGACCTGAGCTCGGTTTCCTGGCCATACCTCGTCCACAGTAGAGCACAGGGCTGGGGAGGGGCTGGTCTCCGGGGTCACACTCCCAAGGTCCAGTCCTGCCTCCACCCCCTGTGAGCTCTGTGAGCAATGTAACCCCTGCTCTCTGCAAGCCTCACCTTCCCCTTCTGCCTCCTGGGGATACGGTGACAGGTAAATGCAACCCTCCAGATGCCAGATCCAGCACCAAGCCTAGAACAGGCTCAGCTATATTCACCCCAGAGCTACTTCTAGAAGGACCAGGAACCAGTGACTGCAAAATGCTTTAATGTTATAGCTAACACTAAAATCCAGAGTGAGTTGTTGGTGTCTTTAAATGATACTTTACTATTCGCAGCAGGCCTCCGTCCTCTCCCTAACAGCCAAGTCCTGAGGAGTCAGGAATCCCAAGGGGGGTGTCCTGCCATGATTAACCCTGTCCTGGTTCTTTCCCACTCTGCTATCCACTTGCTTTTCTTAAAGGACAGGTGGCACTTGAGTGTATTGAAGTCAAGTGTGACCTGTAACAACACCCCAGCCTTTTACAGTAGCGTCTCTCCTACCATTTTGTGGCACTGGGCTGGGTATCAGGGCCCTAGATGCTGGACTTCCCACTGATGTGCTGTGTGACCTCAGGCAAGTTGACCAACCTCTCTGGGCCCCAGTGCTAACCTCCAAGGATGACATATTCTAGAGGGTTCTCCAAGGACATCAAATGTTCTCCTTGGTTCTTCAAGGGCTCTGTGTCTTTCAATTGTGTGACAAGGAGCAATCATCACTACATCTACATTATTATTATTGTTATTATTATCATCATGATCATTATTATTAGTGAAAGCCTCATTAGTCAACTAAACCTGTGTGAATCATGAACCACCCGGCACAGGGGGCCAGAATGTACCCTGGGCTTCAATGATGGAGGCCTGGGGCCTTTTAGGATAAACCCAGCCCCCTCAGGGGTGGTTCACTTTGCCAACAAAGAGGATGTTGGTGGAGTTATCCACGATGGCCATCAAGAAGGGCCTGTTGTACACTACTCTGAGGGGGGCCATTTGGGCTGAGCGGAAGCCGACGATGGCCGCTGTGGCCGCAGCTGCCTCGGTTCCTGACTCGTCCACTTCCACCACGGCTTTGTGCACCATCTGCAGGAGAGACACCAGGTATGCCTGAGCCACCGGGGCAGGGACAGGCCAGCACAGGAAATGGCCAAGTTTCTGCCTGTGATATCACAGCTGGTCAGGAAACGACACAGTGGAGCAAGGACACAGGTACCGGGCTCGGGGAGACTGCGCAGGTACCACACTGACGCCTCCTGGCCTCGCACAGCGAGGGCATGGCTCTCTGATTCTGTCGCGAGAAAGGAGGATCGGACAGGTCCAGTCATGGGAGGTCAGCTAGGGAGCAGAGGAGCCAGCGCCTGATTCCTAATTTTGATGACTTACCCCGGCTCCTCCTCCGATGCACCAGGTGTAAATGGGCCTGAGGGTAAAACTCAAAGGGAGCTCTGTGACTTTAGACGGGAAAGAGAGGGGCGGGCGGGAGAGGAACACAGACCAGAATCAAACCGGACAGAACAGTGGTCTCTGGCAGCCACTGCTCGGGAGCTGGGCTCACCCCGGACAGCTGGATGTTGGAGTGGCTGGAGAGGCGGGACAGGTCAGCCTGGGAGCTGAAGATGTCTCTGATGCCCAGCTTGGGGAGGATGTCCTGCAGATGATAGGAGCTCTCGATGGAGAACTTGGGAAGTTGAAGAATGAGGTGCCTGCAAAGGGAAAAGGGCTTTTGTAGACTCTTCTAGAGCATCTGCTGGCTGAGCAGATCTGCTTGCATCACCCTTCGGCTTGGTCCTCTGGTCCTGGTCTCCCGCGGAGCCCCTCCTGCTCTGGATTGGGACAAAGGGCTGGCCTCCGAGATCACCCCCCTTCTACAGCACCCCAGGAGGCCCCCAGGAAACCCGGCTTCCATCCTGCTCCCAGGAGGCCTTCACCTGATGCCTCTGGGCGGGGAGCTGTGCTCCTGGGGGTGGAGGGTCCGTCTGAAGTTACCTCTTTTTGAAAATCCTGAGCCACTTCTTGACTGTTTTCTCGCTCAGCCCATTCTCCACCTGCTCCATCTTGCCCTCCACGGGCAGGATGAAGAGGGCGGTGGCGTTCCCCCGGTAGGGCACGCCCACCACCCGGCAGGAGAGGTGGCTGTCCGCAAGGTAGTAGTAGCTGTCCTCGCCCTTCATCATGGGCACCTGCACCGTCACGTCCGGGGTCACGTGGAAATCCTGCTTTACGGTGCTCTTGGGGTTGAAGGCGGACTCCCACTTAGCTGGAGACACAAATGAAGAAGGGGAGGAGCTCTGCGCGGGAATTGGGAATGGGGAACAGGGGTCCTCCTGGAGCCTCCACACCAAGGACAGGGTCCCCTAGGGGAAGGACCCCCCCTTAGAACGTGGGGGAGGTGGGCACTTCTCGTGGGACTCTCCCTGCCATATCTGCAGAGCAGGAAGGGTGGTTTTCAAGCCTCGTCTTCAGAGGCCCCGAACGCCTAGTGCTGCTCTGATGCCCAGGGGTCCCTCCAGGTCGGGTCTCCCCAAGAGGGGAGGAGCAAGGAGCAAGGATGCCTCTGGGTGTGCCGCTCTCTTTCCCCCTTTTCCCCGGGAAGGGGCCTGAGCTCAGTGTGGGAGGGGCTTGTAAAGTCCCTGGCAGCAGCCTTGCTCCTGCCGGATGTCCTCCGGTGCCCCCTGCTGTGTGTGTTTCCTGCGGGGCTTTCCGACCCAAGTCACAGGCATCATTTCCATCTCCTTCACAGGCGGACGTGGCCCATGGCCCTGCAGCCCCCGCAGCTGCCCCTGCAGCTCTGCAGCCCGGCGAGGCCCACAGCCCTGGACGAGGGCGGGGCGTCTCAGGATGCCCGCTGGCCGCCAGGTGTGGCCATCGAAGAGGGCGAGGGTCAGTCATTTCAGTCTTTTCTTTCCCCGCCCCCTCCCTCCGCTTCCCTCCCCCTCCCCCCTCCTCTCCCCTGCATTTCCCTCCTCTGCTCCCCACCCAGCTTACCCCCTACCTTCCTCCCCTGCCTCCCCTGTTCCCAGCCCCTGGCCCACCTGCCATCCGCACTCTCCCCTCCCCTACCTCCCTCCCTCCTCCTTCCTTCTGCGCCCCTCCCCTCCCCTCCCCTGCGTGGCCCCCCTCCTGAGGCTCCCACAGTGTCCTGTCTGGAAGGAGGAGCAGACCTGAGCTGAGATGCGCAGGGGTCTTTCCAAGAGGTATGGGGGAGGCGAAGGTAAGGAAATCGGCTCTCCCCAAGGAGGAGAGAAAAGACTTTCCAGAGAAACCGTTTGTCCTGGTGTTTCTGCACTGGGTAATCCCCTCCCTGGAGGACACGGTGTGGGGCGGGGGGCGAGTTGCTGGGGCGTTATGGGCTGGGTTATGCCCCCGACCCCACGCTAAGGTCCTAAGACCCACAGTCCTGCCCTGAGTGGCTGTGGTGCCAGGCGTGGGAGCTGTGGCCTGTGCTGCCCCAGGTGCCCAGGCACAGGAACCAGCTCGTCCCCGGGGAGGAGACAGTGTCCTGGGCCATTAATGTCCACGGCGCTATCTTGCCATGGCGGCTGCGGACACCTCAATCTACTCCTAACCCTTTCGTGGGCAGGATTGTTTTTTCTTTTTTACATAAAAGCAGCTGGGAAGTGAGAGGAAGCTCAGGTACAAGCCACGGTCTTACCTTTAAAGTAAATGTAATTCACCATCACCATAATCTCCGTGCCGTCCAGGCCTGAAATCAAGTCCATGATCTTGTCTTTAGTTTCCTTTGCCACGAAGTCGTTGATCTGCTTCTGGGCCCCCACGGGGTCCCCAAAGTCCGTAGGGAAAGTGTCTGCCAGGTACAGTGTTTTCACGGCGTTCAGGAAGGTCTCGTGGAGATGCACCGCGGGGCGGATGAACAGGACGTTGCCCAGGCTCAGCTGCAGGCTGTCCCTGGGCTGGTTGATCTCCTGCAGCCGCTTCTGGTAGGCGGTGTGGAGCTGCTCCTCATCCCAGCTCTCCTGCAGGGAGAGACCCAGGGCCTCCAGGACCTGCACCCTCGTGTTGGACCCCGTCCCCAAGGACAACATGGCCAGGGTCGTGGAGATACTCAGAGGGGAGAAGAAGACGTTCTGGTCAGGTTGAGAGGCAGCCAAGGCCCTGTAGAGGTCGAAGACAAAGTCCTTTTCCCTGGGGGCCTCCGTGGTCGCTGGCAGCACCTCCTTAGACCTCTTCTTCATGGCCCCGGAGTGGTGGCGGCGCAGGGCAGCCACCTGAGGGCTGAGGAGCGCCAGGCACAGGAGCAGGCACAGCTGCATGGTGGCTGCCTCTGGTTCTGTAAGCGAGAGTCGGAGACCTGTCAGGGCGGGTGTGCAGACGCACGGCGCCTCAGAAAGAAGGTGGGGAGCAAGTGCGCAAAACCGATGTTCCAGACAGGAGTCACCACTGAACCAGCAGAAAGGGGAGCTGCGACACCTGTGAGGCTGGGGGTGAGGGTTTAAGGAGCCGAGTCGGGGCTCCAGGACAGAGAACTGGGGACATAGATAGCTGATGGTGGGGAGAGGAAGAAGGCAGAAGGGTGCAGGTCCACGGTGGGCTCTGGCCACCAGGACAAGAACCTTCACCCTCACAGAGATCCAGGCTTGCTTCGCTGGGGGCCGGGCCCGGGCGCTGGGCCTGGGGGCGGAGGACTTGCCTCTGTTTGGCCTGGCCGGCACCTGAGGTGACTGGTGGCCCGGAACCAGTGACCTGCTTCTGCTTGAACTTTTACCCACACTTCTGTCACCCCAGAGCAGTGTTAAGCAAGGCTTCGTGGTCTTTCTCTACTCTGGTCAACTACCTACCAACTGAGCCCTAGCCCGGCCACCCCGCCTTCATTCCGCATCGGCCGTGGGCCTGGACTCACAGGTGAACGCACGGTGCCTGTGGGTCCCCTTTTCCTTGCCCTGGGGCTGCTCCAGGGTCTGCAAGGTCACGCTCGCCCCTCCTCTGAGGTCCCTCCCCACTGGAGGTTCTGACCTCTTCATGTGAGCATCCCAACTTCCCTCTTTTCAAATGGGCTGAATTGTGCCCCAGATCCACATGTAGAAATCCTACCCCTGTGTCTCAGGATGTGGCTGTGTCTAGAAACAGGCTTCTGGGCGGCCCGAGTCCAGCAGGTCTGGTGTCCCCGTGAGCAGTGCTGGTTAGGACACAGGTGTCCACAGGTGAGCGCATGAGGGCACTGCAGGTGGCGCCTCCAAGGCCTCAGAGGAAACCTGCCTGTGACCCCTGACCTCGGACCCCCGGGGTGCCAGGCCAGGAGGCAGGGAAAGGCTGTGTGGGGGAGTCTCTCTTCCGTCTCTCAGGCAGGACACCCTCACCTCTCATCTTCCCGGGGCCTCTCAGGGGGTCTGTGGGGGCTTCCATCTTCCCGGTGTGAAAGAAAATAAAGCAATTTGGGGCAAGGAAGAAAACAGAAGACGGGCAGAGGCGGGAGTCAGCAGAACAAGGCCATGTGTGCGTCAGCCCAGCGCACTAGGAGATCGGCCTGGAGGCCCGGAGCCTGCCTGGGTCACCCCGACACGAATCCCCCCTCCCGCGGGTCTCTGACCAAACAGGCACTTCCTTCTGATGCGCTTTTATTGGCCGAGGCCTTGTCTTTCTCTCGCACCGGCTGTACCTGCGAGGGGTACTGATCCCCGGAGTTTCAACCAGGCAAACGTTCTGTCTGAAAATTAACATGTGCTCCAGAACAACACTGTCTCGCAACGTGTTTGCCGCCAGCGTAACACCTGGACTCCAGCCTCGATGCTACACAAGCCAAACCTTACCTGGGTGGGGGGTGAGGGGGTGAGGAACGCTGAGTGGGGCTCCCTGAGAGTGAATCCTCCTTCCGCCCACGCGGTTGATTATTTATCCATCACCGTCAGCTTTGTCTTCGGCTGAGGTGCCTCCTCCCCTTCCTTCCTGAGGCCACTCCACCTCCACCCCCACCTCCAGGCCCCTGTGCCTCCCCAAGTCCTTCCACCGGGTGAGAACAGCTTTACTCTGCGAGCCCGGCTGCCTGGGCTCAAATCTCAGCTCCACCCCCTCCCCAAAGCGTGGTTTGGGGCAAACCATTCTCTCTCCCCGCCTGCCCCCACCCCCCGCCACTGACCTGCTGTATGAGGTAGGGCGCCTGCCCCCTGGGATGGCCGGGCCTTGAATGCGTCAAGGCCAGCACCGTGCTAGCACAGGCCCATATGGCACTGAGGAGGTGCAAGTGGCCGGGGGTGGGGGGTTGTCTGGTCAAGACCCGCTGGAGACATCCCCCAGGCCCTCCACAGGCACGCGCTCCCTCACGAGCCAGGCAGCTCACCCCCACGTTGCTGATGGCCTGACCGACTCCGGTGAGGCCCTGCCAGGCGTACCCTTCTCCCTGTGGATTCCCTCCAGGGGGGTGCTCTTGTTCCGTGGACACCATGTCCTCAGCATCCCAGTACCCCAGACCCAGGGGGACACTGCCACTCTGTCCCAGTGCAAGACCAAATCCCAAAGGCCCCAACAGCAGCTTTGGACACTGCCCAAAGAGCGGCCCCACGGAGGCAGGGGTCCCCCCATGCTCCTGGGAGTTGAGGCTGACCTGGGCTGCAGTCCTGGCTTTGAGTGAAGTTGAATGGTTCCAGGGGGTCACCTTCACCACCCCTGACCCCCAAGGGGCACCTGAGCTCAGGAAGCACACTCTTTCAGAATGTTCTGCCTGTACAGCCTCCAGCCACCCCTAATCTAACAGCGGCTGCAAATCACTGGACACCACTGGACTCGCTGTGATGACCTCATGGATTGTCCCCTCATACCTGGCCCCTTCTCCACTTCACAGATGGCACTCGGAGCAGCTGAGTCACGCACAGGGGCAGGCGTGATCTTGGAGCACCTGGCCCTCAAGGGCCAGGCTCTATCCACCACCCTCCCTACCCCTGCACACTGTTCGCCTCCCCAGATCCCTGTCTGCAAGGTCGGGTCAAGGTCTCCCTGCTCAGCAACCCCACCCCTACTCCATAATCTGCAGATGACCAGGCCTTCCCACCGGTGCTCCCTTGTGTTCCCACCTTAAAAGTTGCCTCCTGGAAGGTCTGTAAAGGGCCACGTGGGTGTTCAGATCTCTGTATCTTTTTAATGTGTCTATTTTACAGCACAGCGCTATCAGTGCAGCTGTCCTGCTGAAGAAACAATTCAGCTCACCACCCCCCAGATGAACACCCAGCTGATAATCGCCCTCAAAGAACTGCTTTCACAGAACAGCTACAGGAGTAGAGGGTGTTCCACAGCTTGGCTCCAGAACCGCCCTGCCCCCAACCCCCCTCCACAGCCCCCACCCCACCCCGACCTCTCCTGAAATACCAGAGTCCCGACGGGTCAGTCGCCCTCTCTGAGTGTCCGCTGAGTCCCTTGGGGAGCAGCATCTCCTTGGCGACACCCCAGTTTCAAGCAGGTTCCCCAGCCAGCAGGTGTGGGACCCAGACATTTCGCTCCATCGGGGCCCACTCTCTCTATCATCATCAAAACCACTGTTTGGTCAAGACTGACTGGCCCTTGAAAGACTTTATCTAGGCCCTTGATAAATATTACTAGAATTAATCGTCATCAAGAGTCAGCACTAATAACGCCATTTTGCAGATGCTTAAACTGAGGCTTAGCAATACAGAACAACTGTTCCCAGCCAGTGAGTGATGGAGCTGGATTAAAATCCAGATTCCATGGTGTAGACATGACCTCTTGGCTGGCATCGAATAGGAGTAACACCGCCCTCCCCGCCTCTCCAGCTCCCGGGGTCTATTTTGGGTGTCTCCTCACTGTCCAGCTGCAAGAGCTCATTTACACCCACAGCCACAGCGAGTTGCCTCATTACCGTAACTGCACAGAGAGGAAACGGAGGTCAGAGGTCGCTTCTGAGCAAGTGGAGGCCGCTGGGTACTCATTCCAGGTTTCCTAATTTCCAAGCCCAGACTTTGCCATGACATTCCTGGGCCTCTGGTGGAAACACACACTTGGTCACTGTTCTGAACCAAGGTTGAACCAGGGCGAGTCTGCTGCAGCACCTTGCGCCTGGCACTAGGTGAACTGCCCCCACCACCTGCTGGCGCAGAGACTGAGCTGACCCCCCTGGGCCCCTAACCCCCACCTCTATTTCTGCAGTGACTCCCCCATGTGTCGGAAGGAAGAGAACCGTCAGTCAAGCTCGTCTGGCCTCCCAGGCTGAGTGCCCGGAGGAGGCAGGGGACAGCAGGGGAGGGCAGTCCCCCACCCAACCCCCTCTCTCTTTCTGGACCCCCTCACTTTTCCACCTGTGGTGCCTAAAAGACTCCTTCCATCACAGACACGTCACAGGGCTCCCCCAGAACGCCATGGCCAACCCTTGGTTTGGAGTAAAATCACACTGGTCTGGGGGAACCAGCCAGGCTGCTCGTGGTCGGCCCCTGTCCGGTTCTCGCCTGCCTCCCCTCCACCGCAACCGCAAGGCCGTGCCCTGGTCACGCCTCTGCCACCAGCTCCTCCAAGGCAGCAAGCCCTTGGCAGCTCTGCACCTCCCGCTCCCTCTGCTGGAAACTTCTCCCTCCCGGGCACCTTCACCACCTTCCAGGCCCTGCCCGGGGCAGGTTCACGATGCACCCCCCTCCCCTCGCCCCCGGTTGCTTCTCTCAGTGCCATGACAGATGCCTTTCCCTGGGCTTCTTTTTCTCTGGGCCCTCCCCACTCCCACCCTTAGGTGTTCATAGCAGGCAGGACCCTTGTCTGCGCTGCCTTGGGCCGCAAGGCTGGGCCACCACGGGAGGTGCTCGGGCACCTGGCGGGGTGAACGGATGAGTGTGTGGGCCAGCGGGCCCCGCTCCCCTCAGTAATGCAGAGGGGTCCCCTGAGCTCTGGAAACAGCCAGGGCGGGGCGGTCATCCGGAGGGAGCCCTGGGCTGCCCTTGCCGGTCACCTTGAGCAGCTCCCCGCGCTGCCCAGCCTCGGAGTCCTTGCCTTTTCTTTATGACACGGAGGGGCCGTCGTGTCCGGCCGTGACGGTGAGTCCGGAGACGAGTCCGTCCCGCAGCCACCACCCCTCCCTCTGCCCGCGCGCCCTGGCCTCTGGGGCCCCCGCCGCTTCGCTCCTCAGGCCGCCCTTCCTCTACTTGTGAGTGGGGTGCCGGCTAGGGGGGCTGTTTCCTTTTATCGAGTTTCTCCTCAAGGGCACCAGCCCTAGAAAAACCTAACATGCTGTCCACTTTACATCACTGCGTTGCTGCACCCTCTCTGGGCATTCTGGGCGGCGGCCTCTAGGCTGGGGAGCCCTGTCTCAGAGAAACAGGTTGTATTTGATCGTTTCCCCTGATTTCTACATGTTTGGGGTGCCGGCATGGAAGGCAACCCCAGCTGTGGTTGGTGAGGCCCCTGCACCCCAGAGAGGTGGTCCTGACCTCGGTGCAGGGTCTCGCCGCAGCCTGGCTGGCAACTCCACCTGGGTCAGCCTTTGTGGTGGGGGCACCCTGGGTATGAGAGACGGCGCAGCAGTACCCCAATCTCTACCCCCTCCTGCTGGGACCAAAAAATGTGGCCAGATGTTATCAGAAACACCTTGGGCATAAAGTCAGGCCTGGTGAGAACCACCGCCTCTTTGATCCCTTCAAGCCCGCATCTCACCTGCAGGGAAGCGGAGGGTCTGGCTAATTTAGTGTCCTGCCCAAGGTCGCCCAGCGAGGGGCACTCGTTCAGCTGCCCCCGGCCCTGGCGCCTTCGTGGCACAGGGCAGGGTTTTCCCAAATCCCATAGCCCCGGGGTCCATTCCTGGCCCTTCCTCAGATGCCTCCAGCCCAAGGACCGCTCTCTGGCGCCTGCACTTACTCCGTCCGAGGCCGAGGCGCACACAGCGGAGACCACGTCCTTCAGGGTCAGCGAGCAGCAGAGGGAGCACTGAACTGGGGCCGGCGTTTCCCACTGACCACAGCGGGGTCCGACTCCACCCCTCCCTGAGCACGCCCCTCTGGCCTGACCCTGCCCTGTCCCAGGAAGCTTCTAGCCAACAGCCAGGCGGAGGCAGAGCCACCAGAGGCATGACCAAGGCCACCCACTCCGGCCCTGCGGCTCCGCCCTGACCTCCACGGGCCTGCAGCGGCACGGCCACCCGCAGACGACCGGGCAGGCCAGCGCCAGCGCCAGCGCCCCAGCCCAGGGACGCCCTCCAGCAAGCCCTCCCTCTTGCCAGGCTGATTCATTTGTCTCCTGCTGGCAATCTGCCAGGTCTGGGGTGGGGCTGGGGGCAGAGGGTCTGAGCCCAGACTTGCTGGATCCACGGACCCTGGCGGGCAGATCAGATCCGGGTGGAATGAGGGACCGAGAGTCTCGCAGTGCGTGAGATGAAGGCCACACGTCCCGCCCCTTACTGCACCAACAGCCGAACTCTGGCTCACACGCGAGGGGCTTTTCAGAGTCCTGCTGGGAATCGGGGGCGCAGAGAGCGCGGCTGGCTGGCCTCAGGCCTGTCCTCCTTGCTTAGGGAGGGGCTGCCTCTCGGCTTTCTGTGGACTTGGCTGGACCCTAATTTCCACCTTGAAACTGGGGCTTTCCAACTCAGTCCCACACTTCCAAAAGGATTTCCAAGACACTCTGCTGCAGGCATCTCTTTCCAAGGTCCCCAGCTTGGGGTTCTGGTCCCGGTTGTGTGGGTGTAGCCTCACCCTAGAGGTGTGGTACCCATGGGGTGTGGAGTTGGCAGAGGAAATGGAGAACTGGGCATTTCTTGGGGGGACACAACCTTGACACGGAGCGAACAGGGACCCTCTAGATCCCTCTCTACCATGTGGGGGCCTGTCATGGCCCAGTATCTTTCCTTATCCTCACAGACACCCTACTAGGGAGATACTGAGCTCACCTCAATCTAGAAAGCATCACTTCCAGGACCCAAGGGTTTGTTCTGTGCTCGCGGTGCGTGGACGGTGGGTACTAGTGTCCCCACTGAGTCAGAGAGAAGACAGCCAGAAGCAGACAGCGGTTAGTGGCGGCCCAGGGCGGCGGCTCAGAAGGAGCAGCACCACAGGGGATGCTTGGTCGCTCTGGTCCAGGTTTCGCTTTGCTTCCACTGCACCATGTGGGCCCCTCATCTCACAGGACCAGCTCCTTTTTCAGAAGGAGAATCTGGACAGAGACACCCACACAGGAGGAGGTGACCTGAAGGCACGGGGGTGGTGGGGGGTGAGGCAGCCAGGAGCCAAGGCAGCCACCCAGCCCGGGAGCTGGTAGCCGTGGGGGCAGATGGTCCTCACAGACTCGGAAGGAGCCCCTTGTGCCGGCCGCTTGGTCGTGGACTGGCAACCTTGAGCTGTGGGATGGCACGTGCTGGGGGGCCATCAGCCCGGTTTGTGGTATGGGGTTACAGCAGCCCCAGCAGACAGCGCCTCAGCAGTGGGTGGTGTCCAGATTCGAACCCAGGTACTCAGGTTCCAAAGCCCAGGTTTTCTACTTGGGGCTCTGTTGCCTCTTGACTTCTGGAAAGCCCTGGCCACTGTCTGGCTCACTGTGGCCTCTCGGGGTAGGGAACCGCCCCTCTCAGGGAGGGCCCCTGTTCTTCCCAGCAGCCAGATGGAGCAGACCCCTTCCCATCTCTTACCCCCCATGAAATTCAGGGGGTCCCATGCAACCCCCATCCACGGCCGCTGATGCTGGATCTGTGCCCACTTACAAGGGAGAAAGCTGAGGCCCAGCAAGCTAATTGCTTGCCCATAGCACAGGTTAGTCCTCCTGGTTTACTCCAAATGTCGGAAGCCACCCCCGCGCATTGGGGAGGTCCCTTGCGCTTCTCGCTAGTGGCCAATCCCCACTTAGTAACTTTGTCCAATGGGAGAAGGAATAACGGGGTGAGCAGGGGGGCATGTGTATCTGGTCGGGAGAGCCATACAGATTTGTATGGCTGGCACAGGGGCTCCCCAGACCACCCCCCCAAGATGCTCCGTCCCCTCCCACTGCAGGCACAGGAGGACTTTGTTTCTCCTGCCAGAAGAGAACCAAGGAAAGAGCAAACACGTTGCCCCTCTGAGCACTGACAGTGCCTCCTGGCACTCCCCCGGGGGAGTGCCCACCAAGCCCCCACAAACAGGGGGAGCCGGCAGAGCAGGGATCCCAGCACTGCTCTCTGCTCTCCGGGAACAAGGCCTCCTGCATGGAGTCTTTGTTTGTTCAAAGGTCCAAAAGGGCATTTTGAAAGCTGAGGAGGTGGACTGAATATTTATCCAGTAAATTCCAGGGACACGTCTGGGGTGGAATGGTGGTGCTGAGCAAACAAACTCTCTCAGAGCACAGCATTTTTCATTCATTCATTCATTCATTCATTCATTCATCCATTCATCAAATACTGGCTGGATCTCAGTTATATGCCAGACTGTGTGACCTGCACTGGGGCCTCTACCAGGGTGACTGGAAAGAATTAAGGGTGACGAGGGTCCTGCCCTCAAGATGCTCCATGTGATAGGGCCTGGGGTGGGGGTGGGAGGCAGAGAGTGTCAATCAAAGCTGTTTGATGGTAGGGGACAGTCTGCCTTCGGGAGGAGGTGGGACATTTATACTATATGCAGAGATGGGAAAGAGAACATTCTGGGTGAGTGAGAGGGAACGTGCAGGGGCCAAGGCCTGGAGGTGGGAAGTTACTAGAATCCTGGACAAACAGCCAGACTTTCTCAGACTGAAGTCATTGGCTACGTGAGAGCATGAGGAGAAACTGAGGCAAGAGAGACAGGCAAGGACCAGATCAGGAGGGCCTTGACTGCAGAGAGAGTCTATCTCTGACTATCTTGCGGGCAACAGGGAGCCATGGAGTGCTCTTGCGCAGGGGCGGGGTGAGCACAACCGGAATAAGCAGGCATTGTTTTGAAGACCGAATTGAGGGTGCGTCCCTCTTTTCTCCCCTTCATTACCCCAGGACTTCACTTTCACACATCTTCCCAGCAATGCCTTTGCCAGTGCAACCTCAGGCCCCTTTCAGGCTTGTCTGAACCCACCCCCGGCCTCTGTGGGGGCTGATTTGGGAGTGAGTCAGCCTGGCCCTGACTTTCTATCTTAGCAGACCATTAAAAAAGAACCCAGCTTCCCAGCAGGCACAGAGGGGAACAGACCGATCTGTTCAGTAACGCACTTGCTTTTCTGCCAATAAAACCAGGGTGGGGTGGAGGGCGTGCCCGCTGGGCCTGGAGGCCCCACCCCAAACGCTTGCTGGGGCCTTGTCCACACGGAGGCCTGTGTCGGTGCCGCCAGCCCCTAAATGCTCTTGCTCAGCAAGTCCCTTATTTGGGAACTTTCCCTTGTCAGTCTCGCCTGGAGGCGCCCCTGGATCTTGATCCTCGCTCCTCTGGCGGCTCCACGTGACTGGTGACTGGGTGGCTCTTGGACAGAGTGTGGGGGCTGCTGCCAGACAAGCTCAAACCGCCCCCTCTAGAGTCCAGAGTCTTTGAAAACAGCTCAGCATTTTACTCACTGCCGCCGTGTTAGCCCCTCCTGGGACCATCCTTGCTCAGGGCAGCACAAGCGCCCGGAAGGGCCTGCTGAGCAGGGGTGTCCTGCAGCACATGGGAGCCCGGCTGTGGGGTTTTCACCTTGAGGGTCTCTTGCTTGGTGATTCAGCCCATTAGCTCCTGCCAGGTCCTGGGCGGTGCGCTGGATGCCCACCAGCCACAAGAGGGCGTGGAGTGGGGGAGCGAAGCGCCTGGCTGGGGTCCGCAGAGCCCTGGGGAGAGCTGGGAGTGGAGCTCTGAGATGTCGGGGACCAAGACAGAGCCTCCACCGGGGACTATTTCTAGCAGCAAGAGGCCGGTTGCCTTTTGCCCAAATCAACATTCCTCTAAAACACCCCTTCATAGGAGGATTCTTGTTAAAAACAAAGCATCCCAGGCCCCCCCGCCCAAGCTTCATGAATCAGAATCCTGGGTGTGGGCTGGGGGGGGGGGGCTGTCATCTGCCCTGGAACCACCTCTCCAAGGGGTCCTGAAAATGGTCCAGCACCGAGAAGGGGGCCTGGGCCCGCGGGCCGGCGTGTCACCACCAGAGGGCGCGCCGGCTCCTCGCAAAGGCAGGGGCACGCTCCTAGAACCAGCCCTGGGGCTGTGGGTGCAAAGCTGCAGGGTGGGGGGGCAGAGGGGTTGTCTTTGGAGAGCACACCTGGTGTTTTCCACTATGAAAGCGCAGAAGCTACTCAACTAGTCCAAGCCTCCTCTTCCAGAGAGGCCCGGGAACGACCCAAGGAAGTAAAGGCTACCACTGGGTTCAGCAAAAGGCACAGAACTCTGCGCACCCCTTATTCCCCTCTGTCCCGGCCACCCCACGATCCTCCCCTCCTGATCTCAGATTCATTTACAGGATGAAGGCGGAACAGAAGCACCTGGGGGTTCGGGGAGGAGACGCCTTTGGGCTGAACCCTGAAATCGTTCATTGATTCTGTCTGGGCCAGCTTACTGCTGAGCTCCTGCTGTTCTCACTGTTGGATCCTGGGGAGCGAGCGAGCACCCCTAACTGCACCCCGAGTCTATGGCTCTGATTGGCCGAGGGACAGGGAGCCGGAGGCAAGGAAGGGTTTCGGTGGGACATTTGAGCAGAGCCGGAGGAAGCCAGCTAGAAGAGACGGTTTGGAGAGAGGAACAGTGTTCCACTGAGGGGGACAGCATGCGAGAATGTCCTGTGGGGACTGAAACTTGGAATGGTGACGGGGTCAGAGTGTGAAGGGCAGGGAGGAGGGACAGGCTGGGAGAGGCTGGCATTGGGGACACAGTGCAGAAGGCACAGCCTTGACCTTAGAGGACAGGAGAGGTTTGGCTGAGCATAGAGACAGCACAAGGCAGCAGTTGGCGAGGCCAGGAGCCATAAAGCAGGAATTGAAAAGAGAGAAGAGGCAGGCTTCATGGAGGAGGTGGCACTGAGGTGGATCCTGGTTTGGCTGGAGTCGAGGCTCAGGTGCCTTTCCC